ATTTTCTTACTACTTACTAATGAAGACTAGTACAATAATCATATTATTATAAACACCATATTTATTATATACACACCTGCATTGCATTGGATGATAACTATATTTTTAATATACAAACGTATTTTCGTTGTAATGGAAATATACCTTGTCAATACTGATGATTCAATATGGTAATTTCGAAGGCAAACAATAAAAGACGAGCAAGGCAAAATTATTTACCAAAAACAGGTATGTAGGAGGAAAACTGTGTATAATCGCTTTCTTAGCCGGAATTGGTTAAACGATGAACGGCGTGCGGGCGCTGGCGTATGTACTACGTGCGTCAGCAGAGCGATTATAGTTTCATTTCAAATGGCTATTGTGCTGATATGAAAATCGTAAAAACTTATTCGATAAATTAATTATTATCGATAGTTCTGGTGCTGTTGCGTAACTTTTTTTTTGTAATACAATACTTATTGCTGCGTTTCAAGCGAAACAAGATAACATGAAATAAAAATAAATATTTTAGACAACATCAGCTAAAATGCTCTGATTCCAAATTAAATACCTGAACCTAATTATTGTGGAATAATTTTTTTTATAACGAATGTTGTGATGTAGGTTTTTATATTTGTCCAGTCTGATTTAAATAAAAATAAAAAAATACACTGGTATAGGGATTCTCAAATCAAAATTGCACATAATTTCAATCATGTTCCGAATTTTTAAAAAATAAAGGAGTAGAAACGTTGCTCCTCTTTTTATGAAAATTGTGAGGACGGATTAATATAATATAATAAAGTTTATATGGAGAAAAAGTGCAGAATGCTAATGAGTACTATTTATAATACTTTATGCTTAAAGAATACATTAAATGATGTTATAATGAAAATATTTTACATAATATTTAACACTTCTTTTAACTTTTCAAACAATCAAATTAGAATAATCTTTCATAATTAAAGATAATAATGAAACATGTTCGAATTTGGAACTCTTGGCGACTACCATAGAATAATTAAGATATAATTTTTTTATACTTGAAAATAGTGGTAAATCCTGGTGGTACTACCATTAGGTACTAATATAAATACGAAGAATTGATTTTTAACCATAAGAATGCTGCTATAATCATGTGTATGAATATTGTTTGTTTTGATTTGACGGTGAAATAAGTCTAGTTACTTATTAGATCTTTATGCCGTCGACGCTGTGGTTCTTGAGGGTTTGTTAAAATAGTTCCCTTATTATATATATAAAAAAGACGTAAAATATAATAGTGTATCATATACTATACAGATATTGAACTATAGTGTTAAGTTTAATTTAATACACTGGTGGTGGTCAAGGTAATGACAGTTATATTTGATCGGCTGCATCCATGTTACACCCTACTATATCCAATTGAACTCGATGAATGATTGTCTTCAATACCGAGAACTCTGTAAATGATACAACATTCATCAATTCTCTGAACTGTCACATATATATTGGTATTCATTTCTGAAAGTCAAACTTCGGTAAGTTAAACTAAGTTTTAAAAGTACCGAGAGATTTGAAAAAATCATATTCATTATGTTTGAATGAACCTAATTAACTAGATAGATATCTAAGAGATTGTCTTGTTTTTATACTTTTAAACGTGTATGACATTAAAAAACAGGTTGAGACTGCATAAAATTAAATATGGATCGCTCAAAACGAATTAATCAGGAAAATGGAGATTTTCTAATTGCTTTTTTAGTAATGATATCCAAAATGTTATTCAATTTAATAATGGATTTTTTCGTTGTCAGTACCGATATCGTGATATAATACTGGTTGTGTAATCGGGGAATCCCCATTTGTAAATAATAAAGTCAACAAGGTGTTAGGTTATCGTTTGCAATGCATACTTTGCTAAATAAGCAGACAACGACTAGATACGGGTAATATGGTGTCAATTTTTAAAAGTAATCAATTTTTTGACGACCCGTGTGTTCTGTTTTCATGTGGGTACTATCTCTGAATTCCTAAGCAAGGCCACAGATACACATACGCTAAATCGCTGCCGTCAATATTACTTAATAATTTAGCTAATGTTTTATCTATATGCTTAACGTGTTACTAAGCGCAAATTTTGAAAACGGATGAATCAATTAGGTAATACATCTATGTAGAGAAAAATGGAATAGGTCACATCAAAATAGTAAAATCAATAACTTTCTTTACCCATACAAAGTCACAGGTGAAATATACTCTTTCTACTCTGCAATGGAAGGGTACATATTTTTCAAAGGTGATGCTACCCGAGGAGAGAATCGAATCGTTTAAAAAAATTTACACAAATGTCTATCACCCGATTTCTGAATTGAGAAAGGTACAAAATCTCAACTGAGCGCTTAGTGTAAGTTTTTTTTTAACGTTTACGTTCACCGTCGATCGTGAGCGCGTTAAGCTTTTGGTATGGAATTCAGTACAGCGCCCCCAGCGGAAACTACCAACAACTACAAATCTCCAATGAACGCGATAGTGTAAAACTTACACTTTGCCACTCTGATTATTCGTAATAAATTAAGTTTAACGATTCACATGGCAAAAAGTCCTAGATATATCAAACTGATCATAAAAATATTAAAATCAGAAACCTCTTTATGAGACGTTTAACATGGTTTAAGTAAGGTTAGCGACGTGCTTGACTTTAAATTGTCAATCTAAAGACCGGGGGTAAGAGAGGACATGGAATCGCTGTGCAAGGTATCAAAGGCCACCTGAAAAGACTACCCGCGGCTGATTCTGGTGATATGATTGAGGCTACTGTAAAAAAGGGCATACCTGAATTTAGGAGAGAGGTGCAATGGTGTTATTGAACAATATGGGCGAGATGATGGAATCAGCTTCTCTATCACGGACCTGCACGGCGATTCTGTAAATATACGAACCCGAATTCAAATTCACTCATGTGTTCGAATTCACGTCATTTAAACGATAAAACTGCTTGGTGTTAAATATGGCTCATTTTTCATGTATATTAAATTGTTTATCGGTGAGCTTCTTTGACTACACATGCGATTGGATTGACGAAAATACTGTTTCATTCTTATATTGTGTAACATTGTAATGGAAAGTGACTTCAAATTTTAATGAAGTAATTTTTCAATCTTGACGCTCTGTATGAAATAAAACAGGGAGAAAAAAGCAGCCCTTGCCGAGTTTCTTGCCGATTCTTCTCGGTACAAGGTCTCCCGCCGTAGATTTACGAACCGATGGCGTAGCTCTCGACTTTCACAAGTGCTTGCAACAGCCTAGACTGAATTTTGATTTTTTTTTAGTTAAGAATTCTACGATTCCATTTTTTGTATAAAAAGACGAAACACATTTGATTGATTATACATATTTTTAGATATTCTATTCGTATGTCATTTCGAAACTCACTTCACTTATGCCACGTAACGTTATTACCAATTCAAGATTGAGCAGATGCCGCTTTTTGTAGTGAATTCGGACACCTGAGTGAATTCAAATTCAGGCTTGGATTTGACAGAATCGCAGGGCTGCACATCATGGGAAAATCGAAGGAGTGCGTCTATCCATGGCGTATCTCCTCAACTAATCTTAACCAAATTAAAGTCTATGTATTATGATGTTTATATGATACATCATATATGTTTAATATGATTATGTCTTTGGTCAGAAACACTATGAGCTTTCTATGCCAGCCTTGTTTCGCTAGTTTTAGGATAGACATTAGGCATGGTCGCATTTTAAAAGTAAATCCTCAGGGTCATAAAACATCAATTTTTGTCAATTAATATTTTTTACTTGGACAATACAAAATATAAGGGACAAAATTTTCAAATAATTTTGTTTATCTATACTAATATTATAAAGATATGATTTGTGTTTGCATTAAATACGAGTAGGCACCGAAATGCCTAGACTGATTTTAAAAAACCTTTCACCGTCAGGAAACTATATCATATGCGATTGACATTGGATATTATTTACGCGGGTGATGACGTGGGAAAACTACTAGTATTATTAATAAGAGTAAATTTTGAATTCTTCACAGATTTATATTTGCAGGGTTTTATTTACTAGCCGTAGGTATGGCTAGCAATGGCTAGATCAACGATTGAGCGGCTTATGTTGTCAGCACCATCTCGCCTTTCTCTTGATGCGCAAATGTTTGGGAATGGTACTTGTCGGTTGTTTTTTCTTGTTTCTAGTTGCGACGTTGCATAGAGGTTCGGGCAATCGTTGGCACAGATTGCCGCGTGAGCAGCCGCATCACATTTAAAAGGCAAATGTAGTCACGACTTCTTCACACGGATGTACTGATCTAAGAACGTTTGTTCATGCAACGTACGCTTATTTTATAATCGTTCATCTCTTAGTTTTCTTGTGATTTCGAACACTGTTGCCAGAAATGTACTTATTTCTGAATGTATGTTGTCTTTTCGTGGGAATATTAAATTCCGTTTATACGTGAGACAAGTATTAGTTTCCAAACGCAATTATTCTTAGTTGTTGAAGAAGGTATTCTAGTTTCCTTTTTCTTAAGGCAAGGAAGCGTGTATTGAAATTAAAAGCGGATTAGTTCTTAGTATGAGATTTATATTGACAATATTGCGATTTTTTCTCTTTTTTTTTCTTTTTAACATACGAACAATGTCTTTATATATCGTTAATGGGAAACCTAAACTAGTCCGTAGTTACAAGTACGTAATTTATCTTACCCATACAATACCTATTTAATACATTACCGGGTGAAAATTGCCCTAAAATAATTTTATCTGTGACAAATTATCACTAAAATAATGGAATAAAATTTTCTGAAAAAACAAAACCTAAAATACTATTGAATATTAAAGACCTAAACAAAATCTCCTCACGTCTTTAAAACTAAAATTGTAAAGAATGTACAGCATTTGTATTAATTGATCCTGTTTTGTTGATTGATAATAGAAACTGCACCAAACTAATCGAATAAATAGTGTTCAAGTGTTGGGTCTAATGTTTTTCGTTATTTGTTGCAGGTTGAGCGTGCGCCGGCGTGCGGTGCACAGAGGGCAGTGCGGCGGATGCGGCGCGTGCGTGCGATGCGCCGGGAGTAGCGGCCGGCGAGATGGTCGGCGTGGGTGTGGAGGGTGCCGCTGAGTACTACGGCGAGTACTATCCGCCCGAGTACTACGTGACACCAGACATGTGCCCCCATCCACACCAACACCCACAGCACGCTCACATGTGCACCGTCCATGCTGAATATGGTCAGTTTTAGTCATTTGTTTGACGTCTTTATGATTTATGACTATTATATCGTTCTACTCATTATTACTCGTTCTGTACGCCAGCGGCGGCGCGGGCGGCGACGCGGTCCGTTCTCGACGAGAGCAGTCCCATCGCTTATGTTAAAGTGTTAATGAGAGTATGAAATATTAATATTTAATAACTTGTTTATTAATTTTAATTATTTCGTTTCGATAACGTTTTATTTTTATTCAATCGCTCATTGGCCGCTCTATTCGCTCGTTACCCGTTGCCCGCCCCGCTGCCGTCCAAAACCAAAATACAAACTATCAAGTCGCGCGTTGCACCGCGGTCGCCACCGCCACCGCGGGCGTCCAGAACGAGGCCTTAGGGTATAAGATATCTTGCTGGGGTTCATGATAAAGCCATATGAGGATGACCCAGAGTGTTATTAACGAAGCTCATTGATGACTGATCTATTAACGCACAACATACACGACGTGAATGTATTTTTTTTAACAGAAAAAATCACTACGTTATTCCTAAAATTTCTTTGTAAACCCTGTTTTGATGAAAATTTATAAATATGTGATTTATTTTGTAGCCGACAGAATTGTGCTGTACTTTCACAATAATCATAATATTTTGCAAGTAATTCATCTGTCTCTATTTATCTCATTGCCCGGCAATGACTTTTGTCTTAACGCGTCCTCTAACGAAAAAAAAAATGCGGCCATAAGTTAGTTTTAACCGAGTGTTAGTTCAACCTTTTTGGTCATCGAGTTCTCCAAGTTACGAATAAGAGGTAAGCAATATAACTATTGATAGTTTAATCATATCATCATCTAACTACATAAAAAGTTTGTTTGTGAACACTTTATTTTATGTCACAAAAAATTTACATAACAATAAACTATAAACTTAACAATACTTTTGGGATCTTAACGCTTTAGAGCAATATCTTTCAGGCAAGCGAATGAAGAACTAATGGAACTGTAATGATAAAGTCCGAAGTCATGGGGCCTCTGTAATTTAGACAACCTTTTTTTATTTTTGTTTTATAAATACGAGGGTCAAACTGAAAGTTCTTAGAAAATCAAAAACTGATTACATTAGCCAGTTATTAGTTTTATTATATCTTTTCAAAATATTGTCCATTCACGTCAATACACCGCTGCATGCGATGGAACCACTGGGAAAAGCACTTTGCCCACTCGTCCTTAGGGGTCTCTTCAATGGCATCGCGATACGCAGCCACCGCTTCTTCAGCATTCATAAACCGCTTTCCTTTAAGTTTTTCTTTAATTTTTGGAAATAAATAAAAATCACAAGGCGCGAGGTCGGGGCTATACGGCGGGTGACCCAGTAATTCAACGTTTGATGTCGCCAAATAGTCGATCGTTCGCTTGGCGGTGTGCGACGAGGCGTTGTCGTGGTGAAGGAGGATCCTACTGCGAGGTCGTTTCTCTCGAACTTTTTCCAAGACAAGTGGCAAACAATTGGTAGTGTACCATTCTGCAGAAACTGTTTTTTGATCCTCTAACACAATTGTTGCAAAATGACCTATCCTTCCAAAGAACGAGGCCACCATTTTTTTTCCCGCACTTCGATCTCTCTTCACTTTAGTTGGCAACTCCTCGAAAGGAAACACCCACTGAGCAGATTGTCTTTTGGTTTTAGGATCATAACAGTAAATCCAGCTTTCGTCACCTGTTAGTATGTCGAACACAGCATTTGAGTCACCTCCGTTAAATCTTTCAATCATTTTACGACACCAATCCACACGATGGAGTTTTTGAGCCTCAGTCAAATTATGAGGTATCCACCGGGCGCAAAGCTTCCTGACCGCTAAATGTTCGTGGAGGATTTTGTGCACTTGACTCATACCGATGCCTAAGCTTGTCCGAATCTGTTGATAGGTCACTCTTTTGTCAGTCTCTATCATACGCCGCACAACACAGATGTTATCTTCAGTCGTCGCCGTAGAAGGCCGTCCTTCACGTAAATCATCAGTGAGATTAGTGCGACCACGTTTAAACTCATTAAACCAGTTGTAAACAGTCGCACGAGATGGGGCTTCATCGTGAAAGGCCAATCGTAGTCTATCATAACTTTCTTGTTGACTTAAATGACATCGAAAGTCATAAAAAATCATTGCACGAAAATTTTCTCGTGTTAAATTCATGATGACGTGACACAGACAATTTTCAATTTGCCGCCAAATCGTAAAACAAATGACAAATGAATGAAATATATACTCAGTAATATTGGCAAAGAGTTATATTTTCAAATTTTAGAATTATTTTTTTATTATATTGTTTATAAGTGGCCAGTTCTAAGAACTTTCAGTTTGACCCTCGTATATGCTTAGACATATACGCGAAATATAAATAATAATAAATAATAAATATAAATATAAAAAATAATAAATATATAAAACTAAAAATAAATTTAATTATCAAAATTTTCCGCGTAACCGGCAATTTCTGTCATGGCGTCGCTATGACGTCATGCCCCTCATAAACTAATGTCGTTTGTGGTTCTATGGATGCATTTGGTTTAATTCTCTAAGATCTAGAGAGCGATTCTCTAAAGATTCCGAACCCGAATTAGAATTCACTCATGTGTCCGAATTCAAGTAATTTAGCGTAGAAATTTTATTGCTTCCATTTTTGTATAAAAATACAAAACAAAACTGATTGATTCATACGTGTCTCAAATATTCTATTTCATTGTCATGTCATTTTGAAACTCCCTTCACTTATGCCACGAAACGTTATTACCAATTCCAGGTTGAACGGATGCAGCTTTTGATAAGAATTCGGACGCCTGGGGGCCAATTCTACTAAATAAATTTTGTTTAAATCGAATCGAAAACGGATCGAAACCGAATGAAACTACAGTTTTCAATGGTTTTTCTATTCTACTAAGTGACATACGATACAATTCAAGCTAAAAGAGAACTGGAATTGTATCTTATGTCACATTGTAGAATAGGAAAACCATTAAAAACTGTAGTTTCCTTCGGTTTCGATCCGTTTTGGATTCGATTTAAACAAGATTTATTTAGTAGAATCGGCCCCCTGAGTGGTAAGTGTAAGTTTTACGCTAACGCGTTCACTAGTGAGTGCGTTAAGAATTTGTATGGAGATTTGTATTTATTGGTAGTTACCGCTAGGGGCGCTGTACCAGATTCCAAACTTAAATCTTAACGCGCTTACGATCGACAGTGAACGTAAACGTCAAAAAAACTTCCACTCTGAACGAATTCGTTGATATGAAAGAATCACAGGGCTGATATGAAAAAGAGGGGCGTGACGTGACGTGACAACGAGTATAAAATACTTGTACATATATTCATAATTAATTTAAACAATTTTATAGTATAAGCATAAAAGTGTGATTATCGGTAATAGTATATTAAATACTACCAAAAAAATAATCTATATATATAAAAATGAATTGCAAAATGTGTTGGTAAGCGCATAACTCAACAACGCCTCGACCAATTTGGCCAAATCTTTTTTTAAAATGTTCGTTGAAGTTCAAGGATGGTTTTTACGGCGAGAAAAATTAGAGTGTGTGCGTTGGAGCACAGAATACATAGTTGGAGGAGTTTAATGTCGCGTTCCGAAACTCGCGACAGGCTGAAGAAATATTAGTTTCGGCACGCGAGATAAAATGCATCAGTTTCCACGTCATTACATGTATTGCCGGAACATTGATGAAAATACGCTCTGTAGTAGCAAAGCTGTTGGGTCCTAGATAGCTCATTGGTTAGAGCAGTCCCTGGATCGCGAATGGGTTCGAGTCCCATTCCGGGGTACAGGTAGATGGATTCTTCCAGCATTTTTCCTTGAGAATGTTTATATATTTTTTTAATTCGAATAGTTTACTTTTATAATGCTGTTGTGTGTAATGTGTTTTTATGATCATAAAAATCTCTTTTTTCTATATTTAATACTATTACTATTAATACATTGCAATAATAATTATGATTCACATGGTTAACAATAAAGCGATTACTTACTTTTAAATCCTTATATATGTTTTATTTAATTATTTTTTATTCACAACGCCCTATCACCAGGGTGACGGTTCTGTTCAGGAGAATTTTTTTAAATACGTAGGCAAAAAAACTGCCACATTACAAATCTTTTTGACAGGACGAAGTCTGTCGGGTCAGCTAGTAATATATATTTATTTTCGTTTACTGTCTACACCCGTAATAAAGGCGCAAGACTTTAGTTTACCCGTTTGATTTGTTTTGAGAAGGACTTTAGTTAGGATTATCTCAGAGTCTGGTAATGGAACTGGGAAATTTCCATGGGAACTTTGTAATTAATTGAAGCAACGCCTTAGAGTTTGGGATTGTTTTATTTGTCTTCCTAAATCTCGTTTTTAAAAAGAGAATTGTAATTTTGAATTATTTTCGATCGAGAGTGAGAGATTATTGTCGATATAAGTATAACTTATCGAAGAAATATTCATAAACTTAATGTAATATCAAAGTAGATACAATTCTAGTTTTGCTATTCTACATATTATACCTTACTACATAATTTTATTCGATTAGGGTCGATCTACACTGGACTCGTTGATTTTGGCATGATAGAAAAACACTGAATTATTTTTAAATTAAATTCATATATCATTTATCCCGTCATTCACATAAATTTTCCCGAATTATACTCAAAGGCGCAGTGAGTTCGGTCTGCGATGTGGAAGTAAAACAACTGTCGTAAGGGCCAGGATGGGAGACCAAATATTAATTATACTATTTACAAACACAATTTCATAAGAAAATATAGAGGAAGCGACGACAAGATGGAAGAAGTGGGCAAAATGGAAACTTTATAATTTACAAATTTTGCGATGTATCACGGATACTGCAACCTGTGCTGTTACAAACATAGAGAGACATAGCAGAGTTTGATTTACGAACGAATTTTTGTCCTAATCGTACCAGCGAATAAAATGTATGAGCTATTTCTATTTGATAGGAAAATTATACAATAAACATGAAATTACAAAGTTTCATTGCTTAAAATGAGTAAGAAATAGGACAATTAGTTTTGTGATTAAATATCTACTACAAATAATCTATAGATTGATAAAATAACTAAAAGATAAATAGACGGGCAAGTTTGAAATTTTAAGCTGAGATTAATGGCGGAGAAAGCTAAAGAAATCATTAATTTACAGTTTTCCGAAGAAAAACATAAAAAATCTACCACAGAGATTTGGTTACGATGTTCGTCGTATTGAAAATAAGTATATAAGCTAGAACATAGTTGTTTCTTATGTATTCATTGCAAAGTTAAACTTTTGTTGGCATTTCCCTTGGCAATTCCTTTTGCCTTCTAGATAAGGGCAAAATTGTTAATCAAAGTTTTTGTTAATTAGGTTTTTATTATTTGAAATAAAATAAAATCTAAAATAAAAGATTTGAGTTAAGTACATCGCTTTTTTTTTAAGTTAGATCTTGTCCTCCTTTTACCTATATATAATAGATTGGTGAACTTTTGCTTTAAATTCAAAGTCTGCTATCGGTGGCTTAACGCTTTTAAGATATTGTAGCTTAGGCTTACCAATAGCCGTCGTCGTGTCATTATACCACGAAACAAAAGCGATTTGAAACCGCATTAAATTAAGGATTGTGTCAGAATCATTGAAATTAATGCCAAGAAAGGTCCCTTCTACTGTAGCCTTTACTTGTACTGGCGCCTTTAGCCTTCATTAGACTTCTTGAGCGCGTTGCTCAACAATCTGCGGTTGACAATTTTGTTGGTGATGATGTCTTGCGTCCAATGGTTTTATTTCAGCGAAATGAAACGCGATGTTTAATTAATTCCATATAATTTTCATTAATCCTCGGTAGGATTAACTTATGTTAAACCAAGGAACTACATACTACTCAAAGCTATTTTAGTTTATTTTCTTTTGCTCAAAATCTTCTATCAACTATAAAAACGGTCTCCAATTGTGCAAAGCTATTTTGCCTATATAATGTGCTTATAATGTACTTATAATGTGTGTTGATTTATTTTCAGGCGGGATGCAAGTGGTGCCGTCAACGCCGATGATGCCTCAATTGATGCCCCCTGTGATGGACGAGAGCATGCGCCACTACTTAGTGGCACACCCACACCCCCACCATCACCCACCGCATCCGCAACAGCACCACCAACCCCCGCCTCACCATCAGCCGCCGCATCATTATGTATGTGTTGTCGATAATTACAATATGTGTGGAATCTAATGAACCTATGTCTCACTCACACTCAAGTGCTTAGTAAGTCATATTATACTAATGGTTTATATACTTATATACGTAAGTTAATCCTCGTCGCCTTACTCTCGACTCGACTAGAAAGAGAGAGAAGGAAGGATACGTCCTATTCTTAATGAAAATGCTTAAAAATCAACCTTGTCCCTGGCCCTTTGAGATGGGACTCGATACCATGACCTTTGAAAGATGAAAATTTCTTCTAATTATTATATTTGATCAGCGTTGGTCTTCCGTTGGAACCGGTCGGTTCTATAACCTTCTGCTCTTCTTTCGCTACCATTTTTTTAAAAATCATGATGGCAATACTAGCTCGATAGCTGTCTGTAAAAAATATTAAAAATAAAAGGATATAGGGATGGAAAGGGAAATATATATCGAAAGAAACTTACCAGCTCTTTATCATAATGACATTTACATAAATCATGTCATTACTAAAATAATATGTATTATCACAATAATAAATACAACTTTCAAAGTCTGTAGGTCAAAGGTTGTACATATAATTAGTCGTTGTAGAACAGAGCGAAGGCTATTAATTTCATGCATTGCGATCCTTTAAATAATCATCAACTTTATAATAGCCTTTATTCATATGTCTGTTCTTTACATGAATTTTAAATTTATTTAAGGGTAAGTCAATTACATTTTGTGGCACTTTATTGAACATAAATTTTCGCTACCACTTGTTCAGGACGTCTTTTAGCTGACAAGAAGAACAAGCGAAAGAAACTCACCAGTTCTTTATCATAATGACATTTACATAAATCATGTCGTTACTAAAATAATATGTATTACCACAATAATAAATACAACTTTCAAAGTCTGTAGGTCAAAGGTTGTACATATAATTAGTCGTTGTAGAACAAAGCGAAGGCTATTGATTCCATGCATTGTGTTAAGATTATGAACACTACTTTTTTTTTGTGAAGGAATCGTAATGTTTTCTTGCGTACATAATATTTTCATAGATGTATTGAGAGGCAACAGTCAAAATATTTATTTCTCTAAATATTTCTCCGAGAGATTCTCTAGACCGTAAATTATATATAGCGCGGGTAGCTCTCTTTTGTAGAATAAAAATATCTTGAATGTTAACCGCAGAACCCCACAACAATAGACGTCATTACACTATGAAAATAACTAAAAATATACCAATCTTTCCGTTTCAACATTTGTTCAAATAAAATGAAATATAAATTAAATTAAATAGTGGGTAATTTTATATAAAACTCAAAAACTCCTTGTTGCAATCTATGATAGGTACAATCCTATCTATAGGACTGATCAAAAAGATTAATTCACTTATGAATGATTTGTATATTAGGTAAGGTATGATAAGAAAATGAATATACAAATGTCTATTTTGTATATTGACCCGATTGGGAATCGAAGCCGGTATCTTAAAGATGACGATATCTTGAAACCGGCATACAAGTCGTGAGTAACATTAAAAACGTTAAAAAGTCGTTAAAAACGGTACTTGTATATTTCCATAAAAGTGTACAAAATGCACGAATAATATAGTTTTAAATATTTACGCTAAATATATAAAAACTATTTGAAATTATAATATTCTTCTTTGGTATTATTCGGGTAAATTCAGTAATATTATCTTACGAAAAGAATAAAATAAAAAAGCTATGTTTTCTAGTAAGGTGAACCAGAGGTCCTGTCCATTTTTAAAAGCAAATACTCGATTTCGGGTTATGTACTAAATCGTTTTACAAACTTTACTACACTATTAGTTAATAAAAAGAAACCAAAGTCAACAAACCGCGCTCTTAATAAAATAATGAACTGTATTTATTAATTTACTATAGAATCAGAGCTAAGAGAAGTAGGTAAAAACTGAAAATACTTCCTTAACCCTATTAAAAAAAATATACATATACTTAATTATTTCATACAAAGAAATAAATTTAAATAAATTATTCATAAATAAGTCGCTTTTTTATAAAAATGCTTAGCAAATATTGATGCAACTGGAATTAAGTCAATTTAACTTATTTTTACAAAATTTTGAATGAGGTTGTAGTTTTATTAATAGTGCGAAGGTTCTCTTGGTAATAATTGAATTTTGACTTTATAATAACATAGCTAAAAAATAGCTTTCTTTAACGATATAACAAAGTCTCAGGTACTTGTTTTTAATAAAAATTAGGTTTTTTTTTTCTGAACAAGTTAATTTTTGCGATTACTTTATTATTAGCGGAGGTGTCGATACCGTTTATTTATTGGAGATTAAAATACTCCAAAATATATATAGATTATATTATGAAAAAACAAATCAAGAGTTTGATTTATTTAAATATCTTAGCCCAAGCCACAACGCCTGTCTGTCGGTTTGTCTATCTATACCATCATAAAAACGTTTTTTTTTCTCTTCGATTCTATACTTAACTTTTGGCTGTTGTGTCTACCAATGAGGAAGTATTTAAAAAAACAGTTCCCGAAATCTAACTAGATGTCGCCACGGTACGTCCTTGTTTTCGGCATGACAACCTTTCCGGTATTCTTGCATGTTTAAAAGTAAATAAGTTTTCAAAACCCAATAAACAACTCATATTTGTATTGATATCTAAGTTTCGAACTTTTCAAATTTCGGTTTTTTATAATGTTAGTTAATAGGAACGGAAATGACTGTCTTTGGTCCATTCGTTTCCTGCAAAAATCAACTTTTGTTAGGGTCGCTATCTAATGGAGCTGCTTTTATAGTGATTTCGTTTTTTTTTAAATACTTCCTCATTTTTGGTTGTTCATACGAGGTTCGTACAAAAATTTGGCTTGGCAACACATCATTGATTGTCATTGTCACTGTCATTCACTGCGTTATGTCACTGTAACAGGGCTGCCAGATGTACGATTTAAATCGTACTCCTACGATTTTTTGGCATTTCTACTCATGTACGATTGCTAAACTGCGATCGTACGGAAAGAGTACGATTTACCTGGCAACATTTCGTAATGAAACGAATGTGTTCCTCCGGTAGGTTTATGTTCGGGGAATTCCATATCAACGTTACTTATGCCTAGATCTTTTACTTGAAAAAAGACCTTTTTACAATGCAAAAAAGGCTGTATTTCTGTGCATTGTTACGAAACTTATTACTTTTCTCTTATAACGAGTTATGTTGGACTTGTCAAAAACTTGTTTTTCTCGTTGATCTCGAGCTGTACGTAGTGATTAAACTGCTTTTGATCTGCATACAGTATAGCTTGCTATTTTTAAGAATGGATAGTGAAAGTGAAGAAGAGCGACCTGCGCCAGGTACTCCAAAAAATAAATTAGCTGAAAGTAGATAGCTTTCTGCATGATGATGGATGGATGGAGCGGTTGCAACGTGATGATGGGTGGTGAAAACAAAACTTAGAAATAGTTTATCTAATGAAACAATGAAGGGAACATTATTAGCCAAGCAATTAATAAGAAGAAACGGAAATTGCACTAAGTTTAAGCCAACAACAGAAATATTAAAAAATATTACCTCAGAAAATTTGTATAAGGCTAATAAATAGTTTTATTGCATTATTTTTCTAATTATTCTCATTTTTAATAAAAAATTTGAACTTCTATTGTTGTACGATCTTTTTATTTTAAAATTTCCTAAGAATACGATTTTTTTGTAGTTGCCGTACGATCATGCCTTTTTTTCATCTGGCAGCCCTGCACTGTAATTCACTTACTGTAACTGTCATTCATTCAGTTTCCTTCCGTCTTGCTTGTTTTTCGAAAGAAGATAAACTGGTGTATTTACTATTTTTGTTTGTAGTTCTTTGGAATTGTATTATTTATTTTGTGTGATAATATACCAAAAGGAGAATATTATATACTCGTTTAGGGTCTAATAATCGATTTCCATAATTCTTACTGATATAAAATATTTAAAGGGTACTCTTAATTTTTTTTCACAAGTTAAATAGGCAACTTTAACATACGTTTCTTCTTTAATTTTAGGAAAATATTATATCTAATATTTCATTAGAAGTGTAAGCATTTAAAAAGTAACGTGTATTCTACAGTAACCTTGAAAATAAATAAAGTTTTACCTGCATTGAATGAATTGGCTCACCTGTGCAAACAATTTCCGCAGAATTATCGATCGTTTCGCTTATAAATTTTAACTTGTACCGTTTGGAAATTTCTACGCAAGCATATCAAATTATCCAGTCGTTTCAGTGAACACTATAATGCACACGTTTGTTGAAAATTCAATGTTGTGTGACTTTAGCCGTGTTATAACGAGTTTGCGATAGCGTGTGTTGTGTTATCTTACTAGTGACCGAGTTGGCGAGACGTGGCAGTGAAGTTCATACTTGCGAACATATGTGTAGGTCAAAAATAAAATAAAAAAAAAACATGGATGACTCTAAAACAATTAATGATAGTTGCTCTGAGCAAGAAACAAATGAGAATGAACAAGAATCCACCACGGTCAGTAGTCTTGTATTAATCTGTTTTGTATTTATATTAGTACAGTAACTGATAATTTCCTTCTTAAAATATTCTTCAACTGTAAGAATTAATAACTTACATTTCATTACTTATTTCTTAGTTCCTGAGTGAATAAAAATTGTAACTCAATATGTAGATTATATTGTTTTAATAAATATACATATAATTTATTGAAGAAACAAAAAGCAATAGATAATATGAATCAAATACGATTTGGAGTGTTATTAATAAGTGAATAGTTTTATGCTTCTTCCTCTTATAAGCTATATAGTTTTAATTAATTTATTTTTTGTTATCTATGCTTATCATGACCACACATTGCACTTTAAGCAAGACAGTTCTGCTTTGTAGCTATCTGTAATGTAATTGTTAACTCAAGTAGTCTTAGTTTTGTAAACAGATCTTGAAATAGTTTATTAGATGTACCCTATATTTTATTAATAATGTTTATTCAAAAAGTAAGGTGACTTTGAATTTTTAAAGAAAAAAAAATATCTAGTTGTTCCCTATAAATAAAGTAATCCCTCAAGATACATATCAATGTACTTCTCGTGAATTTTTTGGTATAGTCTTGAGCTCTTCCAATGATGCCATTTTTATTTTGTCAATTGTATTTACTTTAAATTTCAATGTCATAAACCATGATTTGTCATTAGAAACACTAATAATCATAAAACAATGAGTCCTCTAATTAATTGACCATAATCTCATAGGTAGTATTTAGTAATAGATTTTTTCATTTTCATATTACTGAATAAATAGTCAAATAAGATTTACAACTGCCCTCTAAGCAGTTGGTGAAAAGCAAGGTCACCTCTGTTGGCTGGTTGGCAACCATATGGATTATACTTTACATATGACATATACACAATTGATGTAGTATATTATCATGTGTGTCTGTTCTAAAGTTAATGTGGGTACTTTAAAATATTTTGCCATTCACCGAGATCCAAAAATTCTTTGGCATTTATATGTGACTGAATAAATAATATTAAGTTTGATACTTTTGAAGTTTATGTTTTTAAATCAATAAACAAAATTCATATGCAAGTAAATTTAAATAAATTGTTTCTTGCAAGAGAAAGCATACACTTTGAACTGATAACTGTTATTATAATACTGTTATGATAATTATTTAAGGTTGATAAAATAATTTATCAATAATGTTTATTTGTTTCAGGCTCCCAGCAATGGTGCAGCAGGACCACAGCATTTCTATGGGGCGGGATATCCACCTCATTTTCACCATGTGCCTCCACACCACATGCAACACTCCCCACCTCCACCAGTATACCAGAAAGATGAACGGACACAACGACAGTACTCAAAATTAAAACAAAAGTTGGAGCGCAAACAAACAAGTAGAAATAATGGTATAGGTTAGTTCAATATGATCAATGTTTTGAATGGAATAATAAACGTAACATGGTTATTAAGTATAATTGAGTTTTTTAATTAACGGGAATTATTTAATCAACAGAAGCAAATTCTGGCGCAAGTACACCATCCTTGTCGCCACGGAAGGAACTGAATGGTCGTGGCGGCGGTAGTGGTGGCGCGTCGTCGGGAGCATGGTCCGAGGGCGAAGGCTCGTCGGCCGGCGCGTCTGTGCAAGGCGACGACGAAAATGACACGCAAGCTGTACTTGACTTATTGTCAGCTACTCGCACACCACAGGTAAATTTGATAGCTTTTCCATTTGTAAAAAAGAAATGTTTCCTCATTTAACTTTTGCACTGTTTTAATAAATTCATATGTCATCTTATTTACGTCTTATCTCACTGCCCATTTTCAGTACTTATGTACTCGTACCATAAACCTTCGTTCCGCCTCAAATCGGCAGCTCATGTTTCCATCTTACCACTTCGATACCATCCATTTTTTGTTTTTCATTAAATCGATTCTCTTGTGGAATGAACTTCCATTGGACATCAGAATGTCTACCAGAAAATTTACATTTATAAATTCATTACACTGTTAATCGTCTTTATTATATATGTAGATTATATATTATATTAAGTTATGGTTGTGTCGCATAAACAATACATATAACAATACATGTATTGTTTATGTATTTTATTATAGATTTTATTTCCCTTATCTATCTATATATCCACCTCCCATGTTGTTGAATGGTATAAAATTCCCACGGCATTAAGTCCGCCAATGGACTCTGTACATGAAATGTTAAATAAATTAATATAGTGATTTTTTAATGCTTATAATAGAGTTCATATTTATCCAATAGCATTTTTATTTAAATTTTAGAAGACTATTCTGTTCTGGATTATGACATCACTCTGTTAGAATTTGACAGTTAATATTTTAGTGTTGTCATTTTGGTGCTTTATTGACAGACATAGTTTCTTATGGTACTAAGCGGTTTTCTTATGACTTGAAAAAATATATTGTAATAAAGATATATTATTAGATAACAAACATCACTTAGCTGTTTTGCATATTTTTTCGTCTTTTTTTCTCACAATCTAAGGACTAAGAAATATTCAAAAAGTTTATTTTTTCTTAATCAACACTGAAATATTTGTCTGCAAAAAACATTAAAACTAAAATCAAACAATATTTCAGTTACAAATTAGTGACAACTACATAAGTAACTTAAAACCCACAAAATAATAGCTACAAATGAATGTGTAGGGATACTAATATTTTACTTACCAAAACATGTTTATTTATAACAATATTATAGTAGGGGAGCCCACGATGCTAAATCGGGATTTACTCGAGCGTCATAGAGACCTATTGGGTTGCGAAGCTTAGATGATAACAAAAAAAAATTTCATATAATATATACCTTTTCATCGGTGGGGGAAGCGGCTATAGATTTTTAAAAATGTAAAAAAAAAACTGTTGTATGGACATACTCGAGCGCGTCAGATATTAATATCATCCATGTCCTACGCATTTTTAAAAACTGTCGTATGTTAATCTGATCGTTTCCATGATGGGGGTGGTTATACGTAAGGGTTGAAAATGAAAAAAAAAATATTTAATCGAGCGCGTCAGATTTTTTGAGGGGATGTCAAGTGAACCTAAAAAAAAGCTCTCATATAATAATCTGACGATTTGGATGTGACGCAAACGCGTGACCATTATTAGAATGTGCAAAAAAAAATCGCCATTTTGAAATACTCAAGCGCGTCAGATTAAGATATATATGGTTCATCTTTATGCCCCAGACGTGATATCTCATAATCTGACGATTATCTGAAGGGATTTACTTAAACTGACACTAAAAATTTTTTTTTTAATTTTTTCAAATCATTGAGCTTAATTAAATAGAAAAGCACCGGAGTTAGCATGCAAATAAAAAAGTGTATGTTTTTTTATGTAAAATACTTATATTTATAAGAAAATGATTATATGAAAATTTAATTTTTACAGTATTTTTTATTAATTATCATCTTCATCGCTAGAATCATCTTCCTCTTCTTCTCTTAGTAAATATGTAAAAAGTTTAATTCACAAAATTTACATTAAATAACAAAATAAGCAAAAACGTTGGAAATACGATGTAAACAATATCACGCCACGAACGAGTCTGTGTCATCAGCTGTCATGGCGTCATGGCAACCGAAACCAGAGTGGGGACGGAATGAGAGAGTAATAGACAGAAAAAGAGAGAGAAATAGTGATGCGGAGAAGGAAATATAGGTATCACGTAGCTTAAACGCATTAAATCTTATCGATGAATTTTTATTACTTCGGCTTGTGACAATCGTCAGATTATATATTTTTCGTAATCCTTGAATGATTCCCTTCAAAATAAAAAAAAATTAGCCACGCTCGAGAATGTCAAAGTGACGTTTTTTTTTACAACTTTGTAGCCTTCCCCCTTCTTTACGTCACTCTCAAATTGTCAGATTAGAGGTATGTACACCTTTTAGCATGTAACTAGCTCACCTTACCTTAATCTGACGCGCTCGAGATTTTCAGATGATCAATTTTTTTTTACTAATCTGATCCTTCGTCCTTGCCGGGCGGCCATTTTTCTAGGGCTCATACTTGGTCCAGGTACTTAACTGGGTACAAGGTAACCCCCTGTATATTAATCTGCCGCGCTTTAGTAAATCCCGAAATCCCCGCTTCGGCTCCCCTACTATTATAATATTTACATATACAGTAAATAGTACATAAATAATATTTACATGTTAATTGATAAAATAATAACCATGTCATCTACAATTATGTTGTTCTTACTTACAGTTATTATTATTTATCTTGCATATTATTTATATTATATATCTGTAGGTTAACTTATTTATCTGATTTTCTACAAACTTTTATATCATAAGTTACTAATGAAACATCCATATATGCATTATGCAAGATTTAACATGCTAGTTGCTAAGCCTGTAACCGGCAGAACACGGAAAAACTTTTGTAAGTTTATTTGTACCATTCGTTAGATATATTATACTATTGTATTTTTAGTTGAATAATAAATAAAAAAAAAAAATCTCAATATTACCTTGTGACAGTGACAGTCTATAGGTGATATACCTATTGCTTTCTAACTGAATGACGTGAGATTGTAGTGGATAGCATTTAAGTTTTCCAAAATAAAGTTATCTTTTATGCTCTTATATTGTACATCAATGCTATTTCCACATGCATTTATTGCGCCAACATTGAGTAAATATACTTTTGTGTTTTCAGGTCAGTGACATAACTCCAACGAGCGCATTGGTACAATGGAACTCACCCATTCCTGAGGGTGTCACACTTCCAAACATAGATCTAACATATGACTTATTGCTCGGCGATAAGGATTCAAAGCGATACAAAGCCATATACAGTGGCCACTCACTTTCTTGCCGGTGAGTGAAATAAATGCTGTTTTCATTGGTAGATGAAATAAATTGCTTTTATCAATTTTTTTTTAAAATATTTTTCAGTGTAAGAGACCTCAAACCCGGTTGCGAGTATTCAGTGTGTCTGCAAATTCGTGCTGGAGACCTCACAGGAGCCGCGAGCGAGGCGGCCATATTTCGTGCTCCTGCAGCTCCCCCAGATCGAATGAGCCCCGTGCGCGTAACGCAACGCAACAGGAATTCTTTACAATTGAGATGGAATTCTGTATCCGATAACGGCGCGAGATTATCACACTATCTGCTCGAAATGAACGTCGGCGAAGGCTTCGTGGAACTCGCTAAACCTCGAACGCGGCAGCATACCGCGAACAATTTAAGACCGCAGACGCAGTATCGTTTCCGAATAGCCGCTGTTAACGAGTGTGGCCAGGGCGAGTGGAGCGACGAAACCGTCGCCTGGACTACGGGATCACCTCCTCCAGCGCCTGCACCGCCAATACTTCAGAGCGCCACCGCAGACACCCTCACGCTGTCTTGGGACCGAAAAGCGGACGAAGAGTTCACTCTTCAGATGGACGATCCCACTCGAGGACATGGCTTTCTACCAATCTACAACGGTCCCGACCGTGCGTACGTGTGCAGTGGACTTCGCCGGGCCACCGAATATCGCTTTCGACTTAGGTGCGAGACATCCGACGGAGAAGGCCCGTGGTCCACGGAAGTCTCGTACCGCACGGCGCCAGAGAGGCCGGGGGCACCCGGCCGACCTACTCCTCGGGGGAAAGTACATTCGCGCGCTTTCCGCTTGCGATGGGAACCGCCCGCGGACGACGGTGGCTCGTACATCGCGTCTTACACCCTCGAGCTCGACGGCGGGCAGGGCTACAGGTCCGCATATCAGGGGGCCGAACGCGAAGCGTACTGCGACCGCCTCCTACCGGGGATGCCGTACAGAGCGCGCGTACGGTGCGCGAATGAGGTCGGCGACAGCGACTGGTCGCCGGCGGAGACCGTGACTACGGAAGCGACATGCCCCAGCGCGTGCGCCGCCCCCGAGTTAACTGCCGCCCCGCGCGCCACGCTGGCGTCCATCAAGTGGCGCGCGCCGGACTGCAACGGCGGTTCGCCTGTCACCGAGTACAGAGTTGAAGTCGTCGACGACGAAGGTTTGGCGAGGCTCGCGCACTCGGGCTCCTTCACAGATTGTATCGTCCGCGACCTCACTCCCGGTCGGCCGTACCGCGTCTCGGTGGCGGCGCACAACAGAATAGGTGCCGGGGCCCCGTCCCCCGCGCTAGTTTTTACGACTGCCGCCGCTCCGCCGGATGCGCCGAACACACCGCTCGCTACCATTGAGACCGCCCGCTCCGCTCGTCTCGAATGGAACGTACCGAAAGACAACGGAGCTCCCATCCTCGACTATCGCCTCGAAATGAGCACGGACAACGTTGACGACGCCTACGCGGAGGTCTACCGAGGGCTCGAGACGAGCTGCGTCGTCGGGAAGTTAACACCGTTTTCACCTTACTTTTTCCGAGTGTCAGCGATCAACTCGGCCGGGCGGGGGGCGTGGTCAGGCGTGCGGGACGTGCTGATGCCACGAGCGCCCCCCGCGGCGCCCACCGGCCTCCGCCACGAGGCGACCGCCGACTCCCTGCGACTGTGCTGGCGAGCGCCGGCCTCGCACGGAGCCGACGTGCTCGGCTACCGAGTGGAGGTCGACGACGACGCGTACGAGACGGAGGGGCCGACGCCCGAGCGACTCGTCGACGGTTTGCAGCCGGACACCGTGTACAGAGTCCGCGTCGCGGCTCTGAACGAGCTCGGCCTCGGAGATTGGTCAGAGGAGGCGCGAGCGGCGACGAGACCGATGCCGCCGTCGCCTCCGCAGCTGAAATTCGCGCAGGCGTCGCACAACTTTCTGAAGCTTGAGTGGGCGAGCGCCGGGGAAGGAGCACAATATTGCGTCGAGATGCGAGCTGCGGACGGACGCGAGTTCCGGCCCGCGTACAGAGGGTCCGCGAGATCTTGCAAGGTGAAGAAACTCCGCGAGGCGAGCATGTACTGGTTCCGGATTCGCGCGAGCGACGAGCGCGGCGGGCGCGGGCCGTGGTCGGAGCCCGTGTCGGCGTCGACGGTGGCCGCGCCGCCCCCCGCCCCCCGCCCGCCCGCGCTTCACCTCCCCGCGCCCCGGGTAGCACACGTCGCCTGGGAAGCCATGGAGGACGCGGAATACATCCTGCAATGCGCGCGCGGAAAAGACGCAGTATTTAAACAGGTAAGAATTACATAGAAACCTTTTCCTGTACACTTTACTAAATTGACATTCCTATTATGGGGTTATGCTCTAAAACCTGCGATAAGCATAATATCATTCAATTACATAGAATAACACTTGCATAATATCAAAAATAACATGTTGTAATATTACATTTGCACTTCTCACAACTTTAAACATGGTCCTTCGAACCGGATACGTGGTTTACAAGCTTCACTTTCGTCCAGGTGTACGCCGGGACCGAGACCCATTTCTCATTGGAAGAATTGGAGGCGGGTGCGGAGTACCTAGTGCGGGTGATGGCGGTGCGCGGCGGCCTCGGCAGCGCGTGGTCGACGGCCGCCCGGCTGGTGGTCCCCGCGACGGCGCGCCCCCCGCGCCGGCGGCCGGGCGCGCCCGCGGCACGTCCGCTGCCGGCGCGGCACGCGGCGCTACTGATGGCGGCGGCGTTCCTGCTGGTGGCGGTGGGGGTGGCGGTGCTGCTGCAGCGGCTGGTGGAGCCGCGCCCGTGACGCGCGCTAGCGGCGGCCCGGCCCCGCGCCCTCGCCCGCCTCTAACGCCTATACGGTCGGTTGCACAGACGTCCATTAAGGTTTAATGACGATTTAAGCACTAATGAATTTGAAAAATTAAATGGGTAATGGCAAGAAAGACGTTTGTGCAACTGGCAGATAGTACACCGACGCAATCGCGACCCGGTTTCTGATGACTATCTGTATATCACGAATTTTGTTTCTAAAACGGTGACAACCCTGTCGTCATTCGCGTAGTTTCGCTGATGTTTCGCATTCGCGAGCCGATGCGTCGGTGAACTAACGGCGTAGAAGTCGCCCGCCGCTCAACAACGTGTACATAATGTATAGTACAAGAGCCAGTCACCATTATGTGCAACAGTTTTGTAACGGTTGACGACTCGGTATGTCGCAATGCGGAGGTATGTAGGATTGATTGTATATTAGGTAGTTGTTGTTAATAGTTATGTTAATATGTAAAATAGAATAAATTGTTTGGATCGCACAATTATAAAAGACGACGGGCGTCTCATCGCGTCTCAGAATTTCAGCAGAAAGTCTGCTCCGGAAAAGTTTTTATTTACAAAATTATAACAAATAATCTTAGAGAAAAATACTAAAACCTTTTTAGTGGAACGAACTTTGACATACTAACGTAGCATCCGTTACAAAACACTGCACATTTTTGTCACGAGCTCTCCGTCTAGTAGATAGACGAGCGCGAGGCCGCTGCCGCGTCTCCGTCGACGGCGCCGTTGCGACGCTTCACATGTGTAAAATGTTTTATGCGTAAATGTGAAGTAGCCATTTTGAAATGTATATTTTTATCAGTGGGGGGACGCCTCTCCGTGTTTTGTGTCGTATCTTTTTACCTTTCACGAATCTTCGTAATCTAGTCTACGCTTTTGACTTGTTATTTAGCGCTGCACCGGCGTGACAGCTGTTTATATATTTATATATCTATATCTTGTGATATGTGCAACTGTGACGTCAGTGAGAAAGAGCGACTTTCCGATGTTTTTATCGCGTATCAATCTCCGATTCTTGTTTTCCGCGTTTTTACTCTACGATCGATCTGTCTGTTGCGAGTTAACGATTTTAATTATAAGAAGTTAGTGAACTACTAAGGTGCTCTATTATTAAAGTTCTGTTAAGGAGGGCGTGGCCCTTCTCTCTGCAACGAGTTTCCAGTGTGTGTGCTGTGATCACTTCCTTATGCGAATGAGACTGATTTTACAAGTAAACGCTTCGTTTTATAGAGATGTTTCATAATGCTTCGGTGACACTTTTCACGGTGGACAGTTTGTGCTGTGACGTCACGCGCCCGCCATGACACAAGTCCGGCTACATAATCCTATTTTATATACTCCGAATGCTTATTAAATTATATCGATACCTTATCATATTGTATCGTCGATTTATAATTAATTAATTGTTTTTATTAATAGAACATGACCTTTTAAGGATGACATTATGTAATGAATAGGTAATTTGTTTATAAATTTAGAGATTACTGAGATCGTTACCACCCGGTAAATTAAAATTAAGGATATGTCAACCATTTGACCTAATGAGGTAATGTGTCGTGTCTCATATGTAATGTTTTCAAAGAAATAATTATTATAGACCCTATTGATGTTTGTTGCTTTCATAGCATTATTAGGAGAATGTTAAATGATTTCCATATTATTCTAAATGAATTTTTGTTCTAGATAAGCAAAGTGTCTTTATTAATTGTGTATCTACTATACGAGAGATAGAGTAGTTTATAATGCCGTTATAAGAGATTTCCATAATAATCATTGGTGTTTTTCTATCACGTTATAATACTATTCACTTTTACATGTGTTCTGGGTCTGTCCGTGGTAATTCTTTTTAACATGAATGTATAGATTACGGTACGCAAGTTGAACGTTGAGCTTGAAATATACTATCGGATATCGAAAGCGTGTAACTATAGCAACGGAGGTATAGTTCTGTACCTTCGTGAGAAGTCGCCATTTTGGTTCAACTCGGGTGCCACGTATTGTAACGGTTAGGACGTGTTTGCCTCGCAAGTCGACGTGTAACATGTCTCTCCGTACTTTTATGATACTAATTACAATGATTGTTTGTATTAGTAATAATTATATATCGAGATTACCGTGACACACCAATAGGTTTAAATATATCGTAAATATATAATATTTACTTCTCCTGTGATCAGCTTATTATATTCTATTATTTGTATAACTTTATTATTGTTATCCGAAACATTCCTAGGGTACATGCTGATTTCTGTTTTCAGTAAGCTTGTTTTATTGTTATTCTATTATAGAAATTCACTTCGTGCCTATTTTCTTAAGGCTCTAATAAAATTTGTGAGCGCAGCTTGCAAACTTTAAAAATTTATTATTATTATTTTTTAATATATTATAAAAGATGATGGACAATTATTTTAACAACTATTTATTCTTTATCGCTTTTAATATAATATTTATTTTTTAGTAAATATATCGAGATTCTAATGACGTCATTACATTAAATAAATTCAGTGTTCCTCAATGATTTGTCTGTACAACTGTTTCAAACAAAAAATTGTGTAATTACAGTCGAGCATCATGCATTCCAACTTTATTCCACTTGTAAATAGGCCTAACAAATTTTATGACTTGAATGTACATCTTGCTTTAATGAAATTGTAAATAAATCTGGTGTCGATGAGCTTTGTGTAAAGGCGTGTTTAGATACTGAACATATGCCAATGGAAATTACTATTCTGTGTTGAGACTAAAATGTTTTTCAATTAATGAGATATATAAATAATTAACGGGGATAACATCTCATATTGTATTTGTGTTTGAATAAGTAACGTATAACGAAATGTATATGTTTATAATATAATATTTGATGATGTTATGTATACAATTTATTAAACATGAATATATCAATAAAACTATATTTTGTGTACGACAATATTTTATTTTCTTTCTACAAATAAACAACATTTTCTTTAACAATTTCTTTACTAAATTGACTATAAATACAAAAGTAGTTTTGTTTTGAAAATATACATTTGAATTGGTTAAAAATAAAAAAAAAAACATTAAAAAACCATAAATTATTATGCTTAAAAGTAAGAACTTTTTGGTCCATGAGAAGACTAGAAAACTTTGTACTATGAGTATTTTTGCTACTGTCACACGTTTCTAATATATAAGCACAACACCTTTGACTTCACAGGATTTTTATATCAGTGCACTATTATTTTCTATTGTTAAGAACTTATTTACAACTAAAAAGTGATCTTTCATAATACATTTTTAAGTTAATTGTTTGTTTGTTTATTTTTGACGTTCATCAACTTCTGTGTTAGATAAAAGCAACGTGTTTTTGGACATCTTTATTATATTTTTTCTCCGATGTAAGCAGGTTCAAAAATGAGAGAAAATAGGAGTCCCAGCACATAACACAATATTAAATATCGTGCACTGATTACAATTTTTTCCTGTATACTTGTCTATAATCAAAGCACAACACAATGATTTTATACGTATAAATAGAATCTCCCAAGACGCTTATATCTCTTTACATCTCTCCGTTTCAAACTTAAGATAAAAGTCCTTAAGTTATAGGAAATAGTTGGCACGATTTGATGTTTTCACTGTAGACGTCCGTGTAATTTGTCAGGAAGCTATGCTCTTCCGTAGATATATGATCAATACAGCCTTTGAAATTATTGGGGAAAATTTTCTTTGCCATCTTGTACTCCTCGTCGTTTACTCCACCTGTTTGTTTAAAAACATTCAATGAGAGAACGGTAAGAAATATCATTTACTAAAATTTATTGAAAATACATATAACATATATATCATTTGCACCTATACATCAATATTACATAAATAGATGTTTTTAAAAGAGATGATAGAAATGACTACGCAAATATCATAGTACAAAAAAAGTAACTTCCTGCTGTCTGTACGTTGAGATCTTTTAAACTACGCAATGGATTTTAATGCGGTTTCTATCATTAAACAGGTGATTCAAGAGCAAACACGTAATGACTATGGTTACCAACTCATAAGCTCATAAATCCGGTAGCTAAAAGCAATGAAACTCAAAAACTATCCTATTTAAAGTTGCATTTTTATACTCGTAGACCTTTTTAATTGAAATTCGTGCACACTTGTATTTCAGATTTTGCATAGTCTTTCATTCAGTCGATGGACATTTTAATTAATTTACTAATTTCTTTAAAAGTACGTTTGTTACACCAAAAAAAACGTTCAGCCGGCGACATCGTTTGAGCCAGAGATTAATAGAATTAAAGTAATCAGCTTTTTTATTTTATAGCCAGTGTCTTGTTTACATTAAAAAAAAAAATAACTCGCAATAAACAACAATCATTATTGTAAATTTGTCTACATAGTGCACATTCAGAGAATCGCCCATAAGTTTTTAAATAATTTCTTCGTCCATTGTCATAATGATCATTTTCTTTGAGAGTTATAGTTAGTATAATGAGTGCCACATATTTGAATAAACCAAACATCAGTCGCTAATCCGGGACTTGAGCTCTGTCACTGTACGCGTAACGATTTGCCTACACCTATGTCACTTTCTCTGGTTGAGAGTGAGACATTGTATGCGCGCACCGAAAAAAGTGACATTTGGGTATGGACAAAATGTCCTCGAGTTCGTCATGCTAGAAGAGCTGGAACCTGTGATGGATATATTGAAATCTAATACATTTTTTCCGGGGGAAACCCGGATTTTCGGGATAATTGGCAACCCTAGCAGTAACCAGAGATGTGACTTATCTTAGATACAAGTATTTGAAATACAGATACAAGATACAAAATTCGTATTTTCATCTTGTATCTAAAATACCTTTTTTAGGAAGTATTTTGTATCTTGTAGTTAAATACTTTTGTTTAGTATCTTTTAAATACTTTTTCTGATAAAATACTTTATAAAAAGATTATTTCTTACATTTTATAAATATTACAAAACATTATTTGTAAGATTTGAGTACAAACACAGAAAACTAAATAAAAGCTTACAAAAATTGTTTCTAATGAAAAATGCTTAAAAATCCACTTTGTCCCTGGAACCATCTGGTCTAAGATTTAGGTTTTTGTGGTCTTTAATTAACAAACTAAAATTCAAATCTTTTTTTTAGAAAAGTATTTGTATTTATAAAAAGTATCTATAAGATACCTATTTTGTATCTAGTATTTCAAATACTTTTCTCGAAAGTATTTCGTATCTGGTATCTGAAATACTTAATTTAAAAGTATTTTGTATCTTGTATTCCAGATACTTTGTACAGGGTATTTTGTACATCTCTGGCAGTAACCCGCATAATCAAAATTGTTCTTTAGAGCAGAAAAACAAAATTCTTATGAACCATTCATGGTAATAAAAATGGTTACTCTAACGACTTGCACAAACGTACATTAAAAGTGTTTAACTAATGACATATACGGAAATATGAATTTTTCCTTGATAAACATTTTATGTTCGCTCCGAAGAACAATTTTGATTTTGCGTTCATCATAAAAGGTTCTTACGACCTGAAAGGAATAATGCTTACCTATGTAAATATCTACATCTTCATAGTTAGGATCTCTCTTGAAGCCAGGCTCTTCAATATAGGCTAAAACTTTATCAACAACCAGAGTTACGTTCGTCTCATCAAGCCTCACTACGATCTGGTGCCATTCGGCGTCGGACAAGAAACCTGCATGCGGCACCAAGCGGGCTAGATATCTCTTGCTGTTGGACTTTTTATCATTTTCATTTAACAGTTCTATTGTAGAGTTATTGATACTGAAAGACCATACGAACTTCAAGAACCCGTTTTCCAAACCCAGTCCTAAATAATCAGCGTCCTGTGAACGATGTAAATATGTTAAAAATATGATAAATTTACAGTCCGCTAAAAACTTCTATCGATTCTATTTCATGTGGGGTTCAAATCATTACAGGGATTATATAAGCATTGGTTACGAGTACCTACTAGAAATCACTACATAGTATAAAACAAAGTCGCTTTCTTTATCCCTATATCCCTATGAAAAAGATAGAGATCTGGCTACCAGGTAATTTTAAAGGAAACCACGAAAACACCGTCACAGCCGTATATTGTTATTCTCACACTGAAGTTTTACATTTGTTTCGTAAGTCTAATAGTATGAATGACATTTATTTAAAAACTGAGAATTTAGAAAATAAACATGCCAAAAAGGTTTGCGTAGCGGGTCACCAACACCCTATGTATGCTTAAATCTTTAAAACTACGCAACGGATTTTAATGCGGTTTTTTTTCATATGGTGAATCAAAAGGAAGGTTTTTATGTATAATACAAGACTACAAGGGCGAAGCCGCTGGCGGAAAGCTAGTAAAAGAATAAATGAAAAAAAAAGATACTTATTACAGACTTATTTCATACTTCAAGCAACTGTTAATATGTATATGACAGAAATCAACTTTTCCCATACACATCGTACAGAAAAGGATAAATCAACTTCAAAATTTTTTTATTTCCAAACAATTTTATTTAATGCTCAAATAGTGATTAAACATGTTAATTTATTATTTAAAATAAATGTTTGTTGTCTTATGATTTCCACATGAAATAGACTCGAGACTATATACTTTTTTATATTTTAGCTTTTCTTTGTTAACTGTAAATTGTTTTTTACGAAATAAATAAATATTAGGCAACATTACATATCATGAGTATCTGAGAGACCATAATACCCAGCTTGAGACAATTTAGAAAAGACAATGGTCTTTTCGGAAAATGTTCTACATTGGGAATCGAACCTATGACACCAGAGACAGCGTCACCTTGAAACCGGCGTGCGAACCACGTGCGAACCACTCGGCCACGGAGGTCGTCGAAAAAGGTTGGTTAACTCGTCTTGTTTCTTTTTTTTTATAATTTACCATAGCAATCCATAGAAGCAGGCCATCTGTTTGTGCAGTAGTGAAGTTGAGAGCGAGGTAAGTAGGTCGAGTGTTGACGGTTCGTTGTTCACCCGCGCGTCTGTCCGCACTCAACCCACGGCCCAACGACAGAAGTGAGATTCCATTGAAATGAGGAATTGTTACGTTTATTCCTATAACAGAACGCAGTATGATTCATACATATTGTATTCACAATAACTCAATATTTTTGTTTACATTTTTCGTGATGTAATCGTATTTTTATGATTTGTGCAACATGATCCTTTGTCATCCCGTAACGTAGAGGATTGAGTAGAAGTTATTAGATGTTTTTTTCCGCGTGTTTGATTTAAGTAATAAGACTTTGACCCTAAAAACAAAAAAGACCACCTCACATGAGAATATTATTCATAATTCCAAATAAAAACGGATGCAACTATCAACTTGAAAGATTGTCGATCCGTCCATATAAGCTGCCAAAGGCGCTAGCTCGGGGGGGGGGGGGGGATAGTATGGCAAACAAATAACGTTTGTACTTTTGTAGGGTGACCAAAGTACTATGTAAACAGATGGCTGCAGCCATACGCCAAAATCATAATAATAATATTAATGTTAAAAATGTTGGCACGAGGTGGGAGTAGGGTTGCCAGATGGTCGGGATTCGTCTGGATTGTCCAGACATTTCGTATGATGTCCAGAGTCCCGGAAAAAACAAATATGTCCCGAAAAAATTGTTAGATTCTGTAAAATCGAATTCCAAGTATAAAAAAATATCATAAAAATATAATAAGTAGGTATATAAGCTGTTTAAATCTTATATTATGTGATCTTATAAAATGACAAAAAGTAGATACTTGTTATTATTTTAAAATTTTATTAATAAAAAGTGGATTTCTTATTAGCATTTTTTTTTGTCCCGACTGTGATCCCAAAATCCCGACTTTTTCAAATTTGTCCAGATATTTTAGTCTCACTATCTGGCAACCCTAGGTGGGAGAGTCGTCGGTATAAACGCAATATCAAGTTTCTGTCCCGGTTGGAAAAAGGGCCTCCCTCCGATGAGGTTAATCACTGACTTGGCTTGAACTTACTGTTCTGACAGTGTATGCCCCCGTACCCCGCGGCACACACGCACTGCCCGCGGCGGCAGCGTCCCCCGGGCGGCGCGCACGTCTCGGGGGCGCACGCCGCGTGCCGCCGGCACCGCGCCCCCGTCACGCCGTCCCCGCCGCATACACAACGGGCGCGACCCTTCTCGATCACGCAAGTGCCCCCCGGACAAGATTCGGCACCACAAGCGGTACCGTCGCAATCCGCTACGTTCTGGCCCTCTTCGAATAGAAGAGACGGCAGGTATACATAACATTTTTAAACATGACCATAATTTTTTTTTAATTTAAAATTTATACAAAAACTTTTAAATATATCATAGATCAAACTTAACCCCAGAACTAATTCTTTTATTTTTTATTTATCCGTTAATTCAGTGTTGCTCCCATAGTAAAAGTCATTCAGTATGCTTAACTAATCCACTCCACGAAGTCTTGGCATATAATGATATTACCTTATATACCAAAACATTGAAAAGTTGATAGAAATCACGGTAACAAAATGAATTGATTACTATACTTCCAATTAATTATTGAAATATTTGATTTAAATTGGTGTAAGTTAATTATTTTAAAATTCGTCTATTTGGCGTTAAAATGATATAAAATATTCAAAGACTTATTGAACAACACTCCTTGGGGGACAAGGTAAAATGAGGATACAGCTAATACTTATTTAATTTAAAATTTACTATACATGTAATTATGCAAAGTGTAGCCTAATATTAATTTACAGGGTCAGACCGAAAAGTGCAAATACATTGTTTTTTTAATTCCCCGTAACTAGACGTGCTTTTTTTAAACTATTAACAAATAGATGTATTTAAATATTATTGAGAAATCATTTTGATTACTTAACTGTAGTGCGTGTCCTTATCATAGGATACTTTTCGCGACCTTCACATTTGACCGTTCACGATCTCATAAATGCAACGTTTGACTAGAACACTGATCTATCGTTTTACCTTGAATATTCTGCCTTTCTAATGGTAGCAGAATATTGTTGACATGCAGATTTCTAATGCAGCCAGAGAACGTTTCGGGTGGACCAGACATCACGTCGAAAGGCAACGACGACAAATCTTTCGCACCTCCTATAATAAAAACTCATTAATTAACTGACTGATTATATATATACTTTATGTACTCGTAATTTTAATAAAAAGTCTACCACATATGTAAATGCGGCTCGGAAGCCGCATGCCGTTCTTTCGATATAATGTTCCATTTGCAATTATTATTTTAATGTCAAAACATTTTAAATCTTGTAATCGATGCATAATTGAGTATACCCATATTATAATATGATTAAGGATTAAGATGTCTATGACTGAAAAATAGATGTTCAATACAAATGCAATTTCAAATATAATTTTAACAATATTTAAACGTAATCTGTCAGTATTTCTTTAACACGTTCGCTTCGGTTCACCCACAATAAGCCTGACGCGATGCTAAATCAATGCACACAGAAAAATTGGTCTGTCTTGACAGTAAGGAACCTGTTTCCTGGGAATTTTTACTAGTATGATTGTGACAAATATAGTTTTTGATTTGTGACTCACGATGTAGAAATATAGTAATTTAATAACGCGTCGGGTCTATTTCGCCCTCCACCGCAGAGAACATAAAAAAATCTCAGTGAAGGAGCGGGTCTGTTTTGGTGGATGACCGCTCGCGACCAGAGCGCTTAGTGTAAGTTTTTTTGACGTTTTCGTTCACTGTCGATCGTGAGCGCGTTAAGATTTTAGTATGGAATCCGGTACAGCGCCCCTAGCGGTAACTACCAAGAACTACAAATCTCCATACAAATTCTTAACGCGCTCACTAGTGAACGCGTTAGCGTAAAACTTACACTTGCCACTCTGTACCCGCACTGTGCAGGCAAATAGATGCGTACGTCGAGGCGCGAGTACTATTATTTTTGGCTTGATTAACATGTTAATGAGACTTGGTTTGTGTTTATTAAAAATCGATAAAATTAATTAGTGGATATTTTCTTTTATTTCCCTGTGCCATCACTATAAAAATTCCACTTTAGTGCGGTATCGGGCCTTACGGACTTGACATATTCAATTGCTAATTTCTCATTTTCTGTTTGGAGTATTCAGAGGGCCCTTACACAAGTTATTCATGAGAATTTTAAAAGTTTAAAGATTTGTAATGAACAATGCTCGTTGACTAAGATAATAGCGCTTTAACACTACCCAGAGATGTCGGGTCAATAGGGCCTGCCACACACAATAAGATAGTCAAGTGGGTGCATATTTGGATTGCCATCGCACCAGCTGAAAGTCACCGTTTTTTCTTATGCAGTCAACGTAGCAAATTTTGCAAATTGTAGCTTTTGATTGTTCCGATTCATATGGTTACCGTTCCTTGGTCTAATGTATAAGATTACTATAAATTTTCATCAAATTTGATAAAGGCTGGATGAGTTTGGATCGACTTGCAGACTTAATAATAATTAGGCTAATAAGATATATGTGTTAATAAGATCAGTGCGTCACTTCTTACCCAGTAGCACGGATGCATCAGCGCTAGTGTGAGGGTAGGCGTGCGCCAATAATGAGTCAGTGGTGAGTGCTCCATCTACCCACACATACAATCGGCTGCCGTAGCGACCCGCCTTTACACTATGCCATTGAGATAGTGAGACCACTACACCGCTGCGGACCAGAGATGTCATTCCAGAGAGACGATCTAAGAGAGAAGATAACTGTTTGAAACGGCCAGCTAATGCATTACAATTTAACAAGAATTATTTATTTATTGAACTTAATTGATCAATACAAGCATGGCACAAAAGGCGAATTTAATGTTAACAGCTTTCTGTTCCAGACAACTTTTGGGAAAAGTGACAAACGCGGTGGCGGTTTATGTGAAAACACTATCAGTAGGAAGTACAATTAATAAATGCACATATACCACGAGTCCATAATCAGACTCAGAATTACATGATTAATTTCATGCACCTTAACATAGTCAGGGGCCCTACCATGAGCTTTTAAATACGACAGCTGCATCGGTGTATAGCTATCCACCTTTGATATAATATCCAATTTTGATGAATAATTATCATGATTTGGTCAATGATAAAGGTCATTCGTGTCATGGCCATAAAAACTACATCTAATCATCATACCATTTGTAGTTAATGGCCTTTGCTAAAATTAAAATCTACTCACCTGTCCACCTATATTCTAACAATCCTCCTTGCAAAGACAACGCCGTATAGAAATGTGGAGTTTCTGTGAATATGAGAAGCCCGCGTTCTTTGGATGGCTTCACTTCGGCCTCGAAAGACAAGCTCACACTAGAAATAGTACGTGGTAGGAGTTCGATGAAAGACCGTGTTCCAGTAAACAGTACATCTGTTGGTATTAAATCTGAAAGAAGATATGCCTTTTTGAAATTTGTAAGGTAGGTTTGATTTGTCCATGTCTTATCGATGTTTTAAATACCTTGATCACAATTGAGGCCAATCTTTCCATAAGGGCAATCGCACTCAGCATCTTCAGAGGTGAGGATGCAACGGCCCTGACACATCGTCACATTACGATCGCAAGGATTGGTTTGCGATGAACATGTAACGCCAAACCAGCCCTCATTGCATATACATCTGCAAATATGAGCAGAGACGTATAATTTAATAAATCAGTAACCAAACCAGCGGTTATCGTTTATTTGGAGAAGCATGTCAATTGCAATAATCTGGATTCGCTATGCCGTTGGTTAATTAGCATGTAAGAAACTAACAGTACCATCATCATTCAATTTTATGAAATTTAAAAATCTCATTTTTTTCGTATAAAATCATATTAATATTGCATTTTGACTTTAATAATCGCACATTGTCTTGGCGATAAAATATCATCATCATCATCAGCCTTTTTACGTTCCTAGTGCAGGAGCTCAGGCCTTCCTTATAGATAGTAAAGGAGGATGGGCCATGACCTGCCACGTTGGCCCTATTAAGATTGCAAATGCAGCCGCGACCCAACGGCTTAAGGTGCCTTCTAAAGCACAGAGTAGCTCGTGATAATAATTTTTATTGGTCACCCGTGCGAAAATTGCTCAACAACAACGTGTGCTGGCCGCGGCGCTTATCCACAACGCTAGCGAGCTACTCAGTGGATAGAATATGCTGGTCTAATATAGTAAAACTACCCTGTAACCATATTTTCGCAAATAATGACTATTATTATTATTGTGTCATACCCGTATGTGGCAGGTGAATGTATGCAGACTCCTCGTGGTGCACGACAGGAGCGTGCGGTGCACTGCGCGACCCCACACTGCCCCACGCCGCGGCCCCCCACACCACGCGCCCCCACCGACGCGCCACCCACTTCCCATACGCAACCCCGCCATCCACTATGCAGGGGTAGGTCGTGAGGGAGGTCGCGGAAACCCTCCGATGGGTGTCCACCTATATATCGTACACAAGAGAATCACTAACCAGCTAAGCCAAAACATTTCTTGGAAACAATGTGTACCTAGATGACAAGCAGAAAATTACAACTCAAAGTTTAACACGATTGATATGGCGATTACGTGTCTTGATATATTGAAAAACGGCTTTACAATTTATTAAAAAGTAAACAATAGTTTGTAGCACGTAATCTATAAATAAAACCTTGCATTTTGTTTAAATACATGCCTAAAAAAATCCTCACATTCGATATACTACAATACTATATTTTTCTGTCTGTAGTAAACGTAGTTGGTGTCAGATTTATGTTTACATTATACACTGGTCCATGTTAATTATAGCAATAATTATTTAATATGTCACTGTTTGTTTATCATAGTAAATAAAGTCAAAAAATGTAGAGCGTTCAGATTTTATAGAAATAAGTTCCGTCAAATTCCAAATTTTAAAATTGTAATTCTGATTTTAACATGGATTAACTTGGATTCCAATTACCAATGAATACGTAAGGTAGTGTAGTCATCTTGTTATCGTGTGCCGGCGCATTGCCGGAGACATTGAAACGGGCGTCAACCGTGAGTCCAGCACTACGGCCACGTCTCCACACACGCACAGTATGGCCACCTCGCCGCGCACTCAAAGCTCGCGAAGTAAACACACGGCGAGGACCTATATAAAGGTTGATTGTAGAATGCGATACTTTACCGTATCGTATACGGATTATGGCCAAGGAAATTCAAAATTGAATATGGACTATTACGTTTAACAATTTAATTGTGACAGTATAATTTGCTCTAAAGAACTTGAAGAGAATCTTTGATCTTTTAATGTATTGAGTAGATGTTAGTTACTATTATACAACAGATACACATAATATATATTCCACCAATTATCTATGCAATTGTTATCAAAATAACTGTAATGGTTCTAAGAAAAAAGTGAAATAATATAGAGATTAAGAAGAAATTCTAGCTAATATCGAATTGAGACACTTAAGTAATCTTACCACTTCCCATATTCCACGTTAGCATTATATAGCCTTTCACAAAAGCTAGGGCTAAATGTTGGCTTCTGGAATCATGTCTACCTGCTTGACCAATAAAGGCAAGCAATGCAATCTGGTCCATGTCAGAAGTCTGGAAGCGTAGACGCATGTCGAATCGGTCAGAATTCATAGCTGCATGTGTCAACGGGTACATCAGATATGACGACACTCCAGTGCTGATTGGTGCTAGAGATGGCCTTGTTATATCAACGTCTGAAATGATATTAACCATATATATAATATTATGAGCACCAACATCGAGCCGTAAACGTGTAGCTTTTGATTATTTAAATTAGCAAAATAAACATACTGTACTCGCAGAAGACGCCGTGCCTCCCATAAGGGCAAAGACAAAGAAACCCACTTCCTGGATGCCTCACACAACTGCCGCCAGATTGGCAGGGATTGTGTTCACAAACCGATTCATTGCAAAACTCGCCAGACCAACTAAAAAGAAAAATTTCAGCATGATTTCAAATATTCCAAATCCATTTTGATAATATCGACTAGCTATAGAACTAAAATAAGCTGATAATTAAGCTACAGTGATTCCTATGGACTTTTTTTACCCATTGGCACAAGAACAGGTGTATCCACTGCCTAAATCACTGCAAGAGCCGCCATTCAAACATGGTGCGGATAGACACGCTAGTGATGAACATTCCGCCACTTCTGCCGCCTCTACTGCTTCACCAAATATTTCGCGTTTATCACCATTGATCTAGGCAAAAAAATATTTTTGCTATCTACATATTCGCTAAACACGATCAGTTAAAAGTTTTATGAAAGTATCATGGCAAGCACATGGCAAGTGAGTAAATAAGATTTCTTTATGCTATACACCGTTAGGAATAGCGCAGGATATGAATAAGCTTAGAAAAAAAAAATGTTATGAGTATTCTTGGACATTAATTTTATCGGATTTGTATAATGAACTCAACGCTCATTTGTTTGCTTACTGTTAATTCGGAAATGCATCCAACAAATGGCTTATTATCTGATTCCTTTGCATCCGGAGAGTTTCCTAAGTGAAGCGTGGTGTTTTGATCGAGAGATGTAATGTTTGCTACTTGCCCACCACTCATAGCTACTGTATCGTTAAGGCGAAGTGTAGCGTTACAATGTTGTTCTTTCAAATATAAATCCAGCCTAAAATAAAAATTAAAACGATTAGATGACTGTGTGAAGCTCCCAATATTATAATTAATACTTACATTAGATCTAATGAGTAATAACTTACCTTGTTTCTATTTTCATCAGGTAGCCTTTATTAACGAAAGTTTTCAACTCGCTCAAGAGCATTGTTTGGTAACCACAAGAAAATTTGAATTTCAGCAAACCTGATACCATGAAAAGTTGCATGTATACTCCTTTAGCTATATCCACCTGCATAATTTGTCCGTCTGTTATTAAGGTCTTCGCATTGAATTCTATATCAATCGATGTTGCGTTACGTAGTTTATGGGTTATGTATGAATTACCACCAAAAGCTGCGGATTTTATTATAATTTTCTCTTCACAAAATCTACTGCCATAATTGAAGTTACAGTGACACTGGAAATAGAAATAGCAAATAATATGAAAATATGTTTATTTTCAGTAAATTTCAAAATTAAAAATATGTGCCGGCTTACCCTTATTCCATGGGGAGTATTAATACAAGTGCCATGATCGTTACAGACGTTTTCAGTACACTCAGATTGTATAGTTGTATAAAAGTAAGTTGTATTATCAAATCCTGTGCTTACATCCATTATCTCTGTTGTAGTGTATGTTGATGAAGAGGGATAATCCGTAAAAGGGTGTTCCATAGGAGTTTCTGTAAACATTTTCTGTGTGGTCGTATCACCTTCAGGTGTTATTGTGGTTTCGGTAACAACTTTTTGAGTTGTAGTCGTTTCTTCTTCGATTGTAGTTTCTACTGTAGTAATATTGTCAGAAGTAGGTACAGTTACAGATGTGGTAGTATCAGTCATAGTAGTTGATTCAGTAACGGCTTTTTTCGTCGTAGTTGTTGTTTCCATTTCAGTAGTTTCAGTTGTTACGGTAGTCGATATATCCAAGTCCGTTGTAGATATTAATGTTGTAATTTCTGTTGCGTTTGTACAATTATTTATACATTGAGTTGTACTCTGGACAGTTTCAGTTGAGTGCAAAGACAAAGTAGGAAGAGTCACCGTTACTTCGTTTGATGTTGTAGATTCGTTTGTTGTTAATGTAGTATCTACGACCACTATTTCGGTAGTTGTCGGAGAATTGGCAGTTGTAAGAAAACCTACATCTGTTTGTGAAGAAGTTGATGATTCGGATGTACTTGTTGTCGTCCATGGTTCAGTATCTTCTACTATGGTTACAGTTGTTATAGATCTTGTATCATTATATGGAGTGACTGTACTTATATCAGTAGTGCTAATCTCTTTATAGGTAGACAGTGAAACAGAATGAGTGATTTCTGACAATGGTGTCGGACTGACATATTCGCAGTCGAATGAATCGTCTTCTAGTATGAGACATTCACATAAGGACCCAGTCAGTTTTGGAGGGCAAGAACATGTAAAATTATCTACTCCATCAATACATGTTCCTCCATTCATACACCTGAAATTTTTTATTTATGAATGAATTAAATATTGATCTTAAATCGATTACCTACATCTTAATAGTTTTCAGTTCTCACAAAATATAATAATTTATAGATATATGTTCGTTATTTTTAGAAAACTTTATTATTAAATTTTAGTATAAAATTTGAAATTCACATGACTATTAAGTAGGTCCTACCTGGGCCCTAATTGGCACTCGTCGTATTGTAGCTCACATCGCTCGCCGTGGTAATCTGGCACACAATAACAAACCCGCATTCCGTCTTCGATCACGCAAAGGGCACCATTGCTGCAAGAATTCTCATCGCAGAATTCAATTTGAATCTCGCAACTTTTCCCCGTGAACCCTGAAATAATATACGTAAGAAATAAACTAGTAACAATTCAATTAGGCGGGTAACAAGTCTTTTCTTTTTCAGCTAAGGTAAAGCAATACAAAATTAATTTACTTTACCAAATGCACAAGCACACATATAATCAGCATGAACATCGATGCAGACTCCTCCGTTTTGACAGGGGTTTGATTCGCATTCATCTATCTGATCTTCGCATTTTTGACCAGCCCAACCTGTAAAATAATGTAGTGTTATTTTGTTTGTTGTAGGTACAATGGTTTCATTTCTAATTTATTATTTTTCTTTCTGCTAATTTATTTTATTGATCGTATTGTACCTTGATTGATCGTATCATGGAACCCATATTATATTCGTACAAATGTTCCAGCCCGTCAATAAAACTTTTCCTTTTTACCCGACTGAAAAAGAAGGGTTATGTTTTTCGCACATATCTTGTATGTATGTATGTTATATTCTTTATTACCTCATACCTTACGAACCGCTAACCGGATTTAGATAATTCAGGTGTCGTTAGATTTGTCTTGGTAGCCCAAGTTTTCTTAGATAGGTAACATAAAAAATCTGACTGATTATGAATAAGTTTAAATAGGTTTAAATACCACAATATGTGTATAAAATTAAAGGGCTCATCACTACAAGGATTCTAAAAAGATATATGATGATTATTATTATTACTTTAATCCTAATAAAAATAATACAAAGATAAAGTTTAAAAATATGAACTTTGTTCTTTCACTTTCTGAACCGATCTGGTAATTTGTCTTACTAAAAATACATAAATAAGATTATAAATAAATAAAAAAAATAGAGCCCACTTCAAACTTTAGAAAAGTGAAAAATAATACTTATTTCAAAAGCGAATTATTCAAGAAATGCTGTTGAAGTCAGCAAATGTGTTTTTTGTTTTATTTTATTCTTTTTGGTAAGCTTATAGCATTAATTATGTACACAATATGATACATAACATTTATAAATACTTATAAACTTATTACAAGTTTCCGCATACATGCAAACAATCTGCTGAAATGAGTATCTTATAAGTAAAAAAAATAAAAGCTGATGACATATGTATGCAGACATAACTATCCACAGTAAACACACTTAAACGTTTTCACAATACGCTAAAGACGTGTTCAGCGATGACTTTAACATAGAAGTGTACTTTCACGGCAGGAACTTAATACATTCTTAATGGGCTATCATCATTCAACTTTGTATTTAATTGATTGATAAAATTACTAATTTAAATTAATATTCTTACGTGCAAAAGGAGTGGGAAGCAAAATATTTATCTGACGAAGTTTTACGTTCGGTATTTTGATCTGAATTTTGTTCAATCTATTTTTTCTTGAACAATGTTAAGTAGGAAACAAACATCAGAGATTTTTCTGCAAATAACAAGGGAAGGAGATGTAAACGTGACTAACGCTGGTATACGACCAGCGTTAGTCATATTAACATAGGAATCTTAACGGGCGCAAATAAAACGCAAAATATTTCATTTGAATAATTTCTAAGATTGAAAGATAAACCCTGGTTTCAAATATGAGAAGCATACTCAATATGACATCAGCACAATACAGTATTTAGGCCCTTTCATTTTTTTAAACAGTTTATTTTTGTTTATTTAAATTATAGTTTTTATATGTGTGCATTAAAGAGTCTATCTATCTACATAATGTTAAGCTCGTTGTATTATTGGCATGGCACGATGGCGCAGTGTTTGCACGTTCGGTCTACGATATGATTATTAAGCAACTTTTACAAGACCTCGTCATAGGATAGTGACCAAGAATTTATTATCTCGAGCTCCTCTGTGCTTCGAAAGGCACGTCAATATTAAGATTTGTATATATGTCTATGGTTATCAGGGAATCATGGATATATGATACTTTTATCATAAAATTACATTGTACCAATTTAGATAATTTAAATACATTTTATTTTATATTTACTAATTGTTTCATTTAATAACACGGATCCCAAGGACCATAAAATTAGGACATAGGGCCGGTGATGATGATAAACTATTGGCATTTTGTGCTGCTTCTCTCCGGCGAACATTTTTTGATAAATCAGAGTCCTTGACTCCTCCGGGATTCCCTAATAATTTCTTTATAACATATCTCAGCATCAGTCAAACTGCAATTAGTTTATGGAGACGAAGCCAAAATTAATTTTATGTTTATTATGGGAATACCTGGAGAGCATTTACAATAAAACTTGAATCCGGGTCCCTCAATACACTGGCCGCCGTTGTGGCAGCGGACCTCTTCAGTAGAGTTGCAGACGGCTACATCCAGCTCGCAGTGTTTCCCAGAATAACCGGGTGTGCATGAGCAAACGTAGTCGTTTGTCATGTCAACACATGTGCCGTTGTTCATGCAGGGGTTCGACTCGCATTCGTTGAAGTTAGTTTCGCAATTATCTCCTAATAAAATATAAATGAAGCTTAATGCTTGTATTTATATGTACAAAGAATAAGTAAGTATTTTATTTGATTAATTTTGTATTCTTAATAAAAAAAAAACACTTTGCCCCTAGTACTCTGAGATGAGATTCGTAACCACGACCTTTCGCAATCAGGGCGTATGCTCTAACCACTGAGCTACCCAGGACCTAACAGGACTGACAAATTTTTCAAGTACTAGTTACTTTTTGCTAAAAACATGGGAATGGATTTTTTGAAGCATTTTCATTAGGAAAAATTTGTCAGTCCTGTTAGGTCCTGGGTAGCTCAGTGATTAGAGCAGTCACACGGCTTGCGAAAGGTCGTGGGGTCGAATCCCATCTCGGAGAACCAACGATAAAGTGGATTTTTTAAGTAAATTTTTAATAAGAATAAGTAAGTATTATAGTAAGTAAGTAAGAATAAGTATAGCTTAGAAACGTATGTTGTAAAGTAATTAGAAGTCTTTTCTTATAATAAACAGATAACTGTTTACTTGCCAATAAATCCGTCCGGGCAGGAGCAGTTATATGAAGCTATGCCGTCAATGCATGTGCCTCCATTTTGACAAGGACTAGACCAACACTCGTCCCAATTTGTTTGACATTGTACTCCTGTATATCCATCCACACAATAACAGGAATATGTGCTGAAAGATATATTTATGAGCTGTAAGCTTTTAACTACCCTGGACAAATTGCCACAATTTAGATCTCGGGACGTGATCGACAAAATTTACAATATTTGGAAATCATATAATGCGCACAAAAACAATCTAAGTTAGGTATAAAATTACAGTATTATGACCAATTTTTAAGAGACTTCAGTAAAGAAGGAGGTGGTTTTTATAAGTCGAACTCTTTTTCGACTACCTATGTCAAACATTGCATGGCCTTCTTATTTTTTAATTAATTGCTTATCTGCGCATTTCGCACAATTCTGCCAATGTCAAGTAAATAAACTAATTATTACATGTAAAATGAAAATGAAATGAATGAAAGATCTTGCATATCCTTTTTTTCTCCCTATTGTGTTGACACTTTTCTTAGTGTGACGTTACATATTATACACTAACACATTAATAGCATCTCTGAAATTGATTTTATTTCAATTTTTATTTAATTTTAAATAGTCCCGTTTATATAAGATTTTTAACTGTGTGTCATAAAAGGTACATCATTAACGTAATGTCACCAACTTAAACCATATACTTGTGTGTGAGCGTAGTGTATGTACCACGGTCCACTCGTCACCACGTATATTCCAATTTGATTAAGTATTTTTAAATTGAATACCATAATTTAATAATGGATTTAGGAGCGTATTCTAAAGCAGGTATCTGAGAGAAGTTGAAGGATAAAATATCCTGAGATGAGTGAGGTGTACTTTCATTATGACCTCGAAAATATTAGAAAAGAACATATTATAATTCATTATATATTTCTATAAACCTGTTGATGTCATCGATGCAAATGCCATGAAGACAAGGATTGCTCAGACACGAAATGCCTGCTGATACAAGTCGGGCTAACACTAGGGTCCACCACATCGCACGCATAACGACTCTACTTCGTTGGCCACCCATGCTATTTGCTTCCTTTACAGTAACTGAAATTGAAAGACGTAAAGAATAGCGCATTTTAATAAATGAAAGAATATTTTGTTAGTTTATCAGAATTCCTAAATAGGAAACCATAAACAATGTTTTTATATAATTTAATCTTACTTAATTGTCAATTAATTCGCCACCATATTAAGTTACAATTATCATGAATGATGGTTTTGGCATTAAATTGTATCAATAAAAGCATTATTGATAGTTCTATTAGTAAATATGAAAAATCTTGACTTCTAACTATAAAAAATATAGATATATAGTTTTTATTAGTATTTACTTTTATAACAGTTTTTATTTTCAATGGGACGATACTTAAAAGTACGAAATACTATAAGAAACAATTAATCAGATTTAGGCATTGCAGAACTTAAAAATGAACATGAAATTTTTAGTTTTGTATTTATAATTATCGTGTCTTGTTTATTCAGAGATGTATTAGAAAAAATTAAATGATCTTAACATAACATACCATCTCAAATAAGTCCTTGCACCGGGTCACTTAATAAGTTTCTGTGAAAGTTATTTTCACTTTAATGTAATTATAATTTATTAACATTTAAAATTTGGAAGCATCATACTTTAAAATAGGTCTTCTAGGCGAGTAAGGTGTTTGCTAAGTACGGATGGTGGTTTACTGTCACCGTATCCATGGCAACCGATAAACTCACAATACTGGCTACCACACCCCGGTCATTGAATTATTGATAAAATTTCTAACACCGTTGTGACAACAAATTACAAGATCTCATGCGATAAGTTTCATTTCTACTTGGCCCTGGTAATTAACCCCATAATTGTAACTATGGAATTAAATGGAATATAAACCAGATTACATTTTAAAGCTTAATCGTAGTTTTATTATAATGAAATAAAATACAATTGTTAACATTTTATACCACTATTTCAATCAAAACATTTGGATTGTGTAAGCACAAATAGGCCATGAATTAAAAAAGAAGAAGAAGAATAAAAATATTCTCTGAGTTATACTTAATTATTATGTATTTTTAGAATGAACTTTCAAACATTCAAATTTCCCGCTTCCTGGTACTATTTAAAAATGGGAGGGATTTCAGACGTCCATTGCAGTGAAGGGCCAATGAAAGTGAGTTCTAATTTATATCAACCAATCAACGCTAAACTTCAGAATTGTTACTAGTTTTGAATTAAAGTAATTTTACATTCCATAAACGAAGCATATAGTGTAATTTAGTAAGATGTGTGCTTACATGTATTATTTAAATTCATATTTACTCTTCATATGTATCCTTTCAAATGCTTAAATTGTAGTTTTTATGTTGTTTCTGTGAGACTAGAACTATTGTAACGTTTAGTAACAGAAACAGAAAACGTCAACCCAATCATCTGTGTTCTGTCACTGTCATTTTAACGTCAGATCTAGGACTGTTGATATTTTTAAAAATATCGGATTTTCGATATATCGATATTTTTAAATATATCAATATCGGTGTTTGATATATCGAAAAAAAATATCGATATTTCAATATATCGATATTTTTTTTTTTTAATTTAGCGGCTTTGTTTTAAAAAAAACAATCATAAGTCATTTCAAAAATAATTTATTAGTAATTTTTGTTCAATTTTAATAAAACAATTATGTGTACCTATATTTCTCAGTAAGAGTTAACTTCGCTCGTTGCTCTTGTCACAGATTATATAGTTTTAGCCCTGTTTGCTAATCACAGACCATAGACTATACGCATATTAGAAGTGGCCGATACAAACCATATATAGATACAAAAACTATATATTGGTAGAATATCTAAAAACCGCTTACTGGCTTGTTTCCAAATGTGCGTATTACAGAATCTAGATACGCAGCATATCGCTTACTCACTCCGCATCGGCTGTATGGTATGCGTACGACAGAGCGCAAGCGAGGAATCTAGTATAGAGAATATTAGATATTCATCGCAAAGCAGATATATCTTAACCGCAGCGAGCGAGAGGAATACAGTTGTTAAAGCAAGATAGCAATAATTTGTACCAAAATCACAAGTGCGTGTTGTGTGACTTTTATGCAGTAACGATAAGGTTGAAATTCAAATAATAAATTGATATGTTAACAAACTATAAAAGAGTAGATATCGAACGAATCAGATTTTAAAATACATACTCGTACTAACAATATCAGATATTAAAATATATAGTTTTAAAATTCGATATTGAAAATCGAAATCAGATATCGATACGATTCTCAGAAAAAGATAAGAATAAACGAAGTAGAAGTAGAGATGCTAAAGGTGACAGAGATAAGTGATAACTAACAACAACAATTAGTAGATTAGTAGCTACATATTGTTGTAGTTGAAATAATTGCAGAGAGAAAATAAAAATTTATTTAAAAAAAATATCGAGTGTCGATATCTAGATTTCAATATCAAACTATCGATATATCGTCCAAAAAAGTATTAGTAATAAATATCGATATTTCTAAATAACAATATCGATATTTCGATATATCGATATTTTATCAACAGTCCTAGTCAGATCATTACTGGAAAATCTAAAAGAAAGCGAAAGAGAAAAGTAAACGTGAAAGGTGTTTGTTGGCGAGATTTTAATAATTTTTTTATCATCTTTTCTATATTCTTTGTTAATGAACACCTTATTTAACCAATATCTTTAAATTTAAAGTTTACATTGTTCAAGTTTCAGTGAAAATACAGAGTTAGAGTTACGTTGCGAAAATGGATCCGGGCATCCTTTGTTTCCACCATTGTGAACATAAAGTGTTTTGTACTGTTATACCAGAAAAATGTCCAGTGTGCAAACAAAAACTTGATAGATATGATTATAATCTTTTACCCTTTAGGTAGAGTGTAGTGTAATTTGTTACTTGTACATTTTTAGTTTGTGGATATGTTTATGCATTCTCATTGTGTTGTAGGGTGCCGTATCCGTTCGTAAAAGCGTCTCAACATCCACGAGCTATTGTCATAAAACCCACACAAGGAGATTTCTTGAAGTAAGTAGTTGCAAAAATATGAGTTAATGTCCTGATTCCATTCTTTACTTAAACCTATAATGTTCATTTTCCAGTGATTACTATAATTCGAAAGATTTGCACATAGGTGTTACCAATTCTCAAGGTAGTGTGGTGGAATTCAGTGAAAGAGGTATTCAAGGAGTAGACCCATCTACAAAGAAATGGAGTAACTGTGAAACTAGCTCTGATTGGGACCAGTGCCTCTTATTGGAGCAATTTGATGAGCTTTGGAATGAAATCTGGGACAGTGTTTTAATAAAGGTATTCTATTCATTGTTGAATTAAACAACAATAAATTTTAACTCTTAACAACAAGAACAGCAAAAAAAAGGTGCAATAAAAAAAAATCAACTATTAATAGCCTGTTATTTAGGAAGTTAGGAAGTAAGTTAAAGCAGTGACAACTTAATTTGGGATCTGGGCAATATAGGTATGTGATGCTATCCAATATTTTTTATTTTTATTTTCAGGTTGCTTTGAGTCCTCTATGGGAAGCTAAAAGATACAATGAAGAAAGGCATAATTGCTTCACTTTTGTGCTGGCCTTCTTAAGAGCACTCGATTGTGGGGAACTATCTGAAAAGGCTCATGATCCTAAGCTCTTTTGCAAACAATATGTCGTCCCAAGAACTTCTGCTGCAGGGAAGTACATTTCTCTTTATAGACAATTGAAGAGACAAAATTACTTTATACAAAACCAATGATAGATTCTTGTATTCATTTATGTTCATGTTTATTATTAACTTATTCAGTATTAACTGTGATGTTTAGAATTTAGATGTAAGTTTCTTATAAATTTGGTGTGCATTTAAGTTAAACCAATGATATGAAGATAATATGAAATGTTATTGATAATATCACATGAAATTTTTGTTTGATAGGTGTGTTAAACACTGTTTTATCCTTCATAGATTAATTTATTTGTTAACTACTTAAATATTGTTTCAAGTTTAGTCACTAGGACCAATGTAATAACCAGTGACTTACAATGAATAGCAAAGTATTATTTATTTTAGTTAAAATGTAATTGATCTTGTCTTGCCAATGCATTGTATCTATAGTTGTTATACCACTTACAGTTTGTCGGCTAAGGTTTTGTTACATTAACTAGCCTAAAAGAGACTGATCAATAAAATACTTATTATTTCTAACACAACACTTTCAACAACTTATATGAGTTAGATCTGAATTCAATCATAATTTATTTATTAATTTAAAAATGCCCACAAACTTTTTCTTCTTGAAATATTTTGTTTATAATAGCTTTGTCTCTAGCAGAAAAATAATAAAGTTTAGAATCCCAACAGCTTTGAATCCTTTAATTTACCTATTCAATAAAATGGGTTCTTAGCTGGCATTTGCCTCACTTTAAATACCTCATTTCGAATACAAACACAGTTGTTTAAATAGTTTGGATATACTTTTCTGGTATATTACATAATGAGGAAGAAACTTTATAGTGGTGCCTCATCCTTCCAGAATTTGAGATTTGTTAAAAAACAAATTAAAATCTAGGATGTAGCTTTTTTCTTTGAATGAATAAATAAAAAAAGACACATTATTAACATATCTTATATTTTTAATCAAAATTAAAATCAATTGCGGATAGACATTTGTGGTATTCTGATGAATTGATATGTGTAAATAGCATAATATCTCAGGGTACGAGTTTAGTTGATCATTACCTATTCTTTAATTTATGGCTAGGGGTGATGCACAAAAATATCTTACGTATTCTACTGTATTTAGTAGATTGTTTATGACCTTGATTTGTTGAATTTTTCCAGTGTATTTCCACCATTGACTTGTTTTGATTTCAATATATAAAAGTCAATTACTAATTTCGATTATACTATATGTAATAATTATAATAGACTTTTTCACATTTTTACTTGTATAATATTTATGACATTATTCTACATTGAAATAACAATTTAAATGATTCATTATTTATGTAGAGTAAATGAAAGGCTTTATTTTCATAAATGTACTAAGGAAATAATGGTGTATGTAGTGATTCTGTATTGTGGGTAGTTGTGCCTGTATTAAGCAGCCTAAATATATTCCAATTTTATATCGCATTATAGAGAATGTAATGTAATTTAAACTTAACCGAGGTTGCTATATATAACAGCCGTACTATTAAAGCGTGAAATCATCGTGTGCGATTAAATAATCGAATTCGAATCGAATAATGTGGCGAATGACGAATAACCGGCGATAATGTGGTTACGCCAAATGAAGGCTACCGTATATTTGCTCACCAGATGGCGCGACAGTCGCGAAAGGTCCTGTTAAAGTTTATTTACTACTTTTAATTGTTTCAATGAATCTCAGGTACTCCAAAATAAGCGTAAAATTCGTTTATTTGAAGAGAAACGCGTATAGTTCACCGATATAGTATGTTATTTGATATTTTGAAAATCTCACTAGCGCCTCTAGTGATAAATTCAAATGTGTTAGCCCTCAGTGGCGCTATTTATAATGTATGAGTCGAATATGGATAACGGTCAACTGCACGCTGGACCATACAAAACTGTCTTATTTCACAAAACTGAGTTCTTCACAGTGATCCACAATGCTTTAGAGTAGAGTTCAAAATCATTTGAGAAAATTTTACATATATGTATATCTCGTAATTTCGAAATAGAGCAAAAATGTATGTGTAAGAAAAGCTAAACATATCATTTGAAAATTAACAATGAGTTAAAAAGGTTGCATTACTTTAAATATAAACTCATTTTTAAATTAATTAATATCAGCCAACTCAAATATAGCTTAAATAGCGCCTTTTACTTTTAACATTCCATTATCAATAGGGATGATAGCGGGGTAAAAACACTTCCAATAAAAAGCAAATATTAAATACCTGTTAGCCCTTATAGTTTAAATTAGTAATATTTATAATAACATGTTCACAACAGATGATTTTTTTACGAACTGACATTCATAAAGAGCATATTGGATTAGTAATAAAAAGAAATGATGTTAAATATCAAAGACAAAAACTTTGCATGCTGAAACCTAGGATAAAATAAACGGTGGCACGGCACGCAGTTACAAAACTAATACTTCCTTATGCCCGAGTGCGCTATCCCGTCCTAAAAATTTGCTATTAGTATTTACTGCGATCCCCTCCCCCCCGACGATATCTGGATAAAAATATTATTATAAAGACTAACGCGTATTTATTGTTTATTTTGTATTAGAAGTGTTATGTTATGATGGGGAGGGGGTATTTTTTTTTAATAAACACATTGTATAATAATATTTATGTATCTCGATTTTTGTCACTAGCAGTATATTCTGTCCACTCATTGAGCCCTTTTCAATGAGCCTAAACACGATATATCTGCTGTTAGTTGTCGAGGAGTCAGGTACTCTGTAGACTATCCTGACTGCAGCATCAGGTCAAGGGCACCATATTATTTTCGTGTTATATGATTTGCTATATGTATCAAGTTTTTTAACTCAATCAGTGCAGTAGAAGTGTACTAAGAGTCCATTAAATTAACGATTATCTAAAAGCTGACGACCTTCAAGTGGCTGCACAGATTTTAATAAAACATTTCTAATCTTAGAACACTCGATTAAGTCACATTTGTAACAAAAAAATAATTATCCAAATCGGTTCAACCGTTTGGAAGCTACGATGCCGCAAACAGAATAACACACGTTAAACTTATAACACCCCTCTTTTGCGTCGGGAAATTTCGTACAAAGGGTACAGATGCTTGAATGGCGTTCAGAAATGTTGAGTGTGTTGAACATTATGTCTAAAACAGATGTTAATCTGATTCATATCATTAATTAGAAACATCAAAAAAAGGTTTTGTTATTAGATTTATTAGGATATAATAAATTATATGTTTTTAATCATGTAATTATAATAAAGGTACACAAAGTGTAATCAGTTTAAAACTATTTAAAAAGGATTTTTAAAATACATAAATGTGTACCTACTTAATTCTAAGTATTTGTTGGTAATAGTTTAATACCTTAATGTGACATTAGTTATTACACTCGAATATGTATCAAAATGTGTGAAGGATCTCAATGACAAATTTGTAGGTGCTACGTTTCAAATAAAGTTTTTATTGAAATTTTATTATTTTTTTATTATTCTATTTATTATTATATTTAAGTATATCATTAAAAATCACATTTAAATATATTTAAAAAATCTTTATTTATTTGTAACTTCTGAACAATATTTAATACAGAATAAAAGATAAATCACAGCATACATAAAAATATAATTAATTTTGGTGGGTGGTAACTATACAATCAGAATCTTTGAACGAACGAATTGAGTATTGGTTGCCTATTTTTCTTACTTTTATATACATTTAAAATTAGAATTATGTTCATAAATAATCTATTAAATTCTCTTGATAATACTTTAGTGTTGATTCAAGGGCTTCCTTAATTGGTCACCTTGACAGGGGCTGATTCCACGCCAACCCAGAATACAGCACCGTTTAAAGCAATGGTAGCCCTGGAAAAAAAAGTTGTTAAAATTATCAAAATAGAACATTAATTATTAAATGACAGATTAAAAATACAAATAATATAAAAGAATAATATAAAAGAAAAAAACAAATAAGTGTTATTATTTACATGAACTCCTGTACTAGTTTTTCTTTAGGTTCCAAATAGGTTTCGATTCGGCAATTTTTTACGTAATAATCGCATCTCAATAAAATCTATTTGCTTTTTGCCATTGTATCTACAATTTACCTGAAGTTCAATACTATTAGTGCGTTGTTTTCTTCACAAGTCATTAGTAACAGACATATTTATTACTAGCTTTCGCCAGCGGCTTCGCCCGCGTGGACCCTAGGGAAATGTTTAGTGGGATAAAAAGTATCCTATTATCTAAGTCAGCTAACACCCTATCTGTATACCAAATTTCATCAAAATCCGTTCAGTAGTTTCGGTGTGATTGACGTACAAACATCCAAACATCTAAACATCCAAACAAAGAAACTTTCACATTTATAATATTAATAGGATTTTATGATCTTATACCGAAAACTGTGTCATAAAGTATTGTAGTTGAAGCGCTATTGACTTACCAGTATTACACTTATTGTACATATCTACCAATTCAAACCCAACATGCGGTTCTTGTTCTAATTAATATAAGGTGTAAAATACAATGCAATACAGGTTTCATTCATAATCAGCGAGTGTCAGGCACATGGACATTGGTGTTGTGACATTTGTCGTGCAAATTATGCATAGCGCGCTGTTCATCAATGAACCACATCTGTTGTAAATTAGTGTAACTATAAGTAAGTAGTTAGTAATTTTTGTTTTGTTTTTTGTACCATTTTCATTACGGCTGTCAGTAAATAAATGGACTTATCAACAAAAAAATTTTTTTTCAATTCGAACCAGTAGGTCCTGCGATCAGCGCGTTCAACCAAAGAACAATGAACGAACTCTTCAGCTTTATTAGATTAGTATAGAGGAACGCTGTAATAAAATTTATTTCATTTTAGGTAAAACTATCAGTTTAATAAACGAAAATTGCTACTGGAAAAATATTAAATATAGAGTATCAATTTACCTTTAGATTACTGAAAATCGATCAATACCTAACGATTGAATGTTACGGAAATCAGAAACAACATTTGTATGAAAACATAAACTTTGCAGCGTTTCGCAGTGTTTGTTATAATAGGGGTCAACAAGGAAATAATGGGACCACAATATATTACTCAGTCGTCTGTACACGTATACTATACTGAATACCTAATAAAAACGAATCAACATTGTTAAGAAGAAATATTTGATTATTTGTTCGTTTTATTGCATCAAATAGGCTCTGAAACTACTATTTAAAAAATTCTGTCACCTATGGTATGGACCAACGTCCATGTTTATAGTAAACTAAATCTTACGCGGTTGATACAGGTTATAAATTACGCAGGCGAAGACGCGGAAAAATATCACGTTTTTTATAATTTTAAAATAAATAGTTTAGCAACTTAGTTGTGGAAAATAGTAAACAATTCATCCTGTATGTCCGAAATGAGTGTGAATTTAAATAAAAATATAGTAATAGTCGGTGTTTTTTTTACCTAAATTTAATTTCGCCATTGAAGCCGGCTGGTGGAGTCCAGGTAAATGCGACTGTCTGCTTATCCAGTTTCTCGTCGTGTTTTTTGTGTGTCACAGCATTCTGCAAAAATAAAATAATACCGATTTATTTACAAATACATAGAGAGATTTTTAGTAGCTATGAAATAAGAACAACACACCAAGACTGACTGACGGAAAGCATCTGGTAATGCCTTAATTTAATTCTGTAGAGGTAGCACTAGGTGTATGTTACTTGATAACAAATTGTTTTAAAGGATTCTATGCTAAACATTAAGTACTGAAAAAAAAACAACACTAGCCTTTTACCCAAATAGTAGCAATAAATCAAAATAATGTAATGCATCACGGGTTTTTTTTAACGCAGTGTTAAGTGCTTTCGGTGTCCAGTGAGGGAGTTCAACAACTTTTGTAATAATTTATTATAAACGGTACGTTAACATGTTGGTACCGACTGCATCCACAGTAGTTAAAACCACGAGTCCGCACTGGGTCCGCGTGGTGGTTCACGAACCTTTTCAATTAGATCCATATGAAAGGCCCATTAAAATTAAGTTTTTTTTAAATACCCATTTGCATCCAGTCTTATTCGAGATAGTTCAATACCCGATCTCTTAAAATTGGTCAAGGTCCTACCAGTTAAGTCTAAATAGTTATCTTCGGCTTACTGTATTTTACGTATAATAATGTAATCAGTGAATAATAAGCAGTTTCTCACGCATTTATTATGTGTTATTTAGTTGGATGGAAGGCCGCTCAGTTGACATGAGTTTGTAAAGAAATTTTTTGTATGTTTAAAGCTCCCCATCGTAAAGACATGTACAAAAAAAAAACAATAAAAGAAGGTCACCCTACTGAAAGCCTTTTCAAGTAAAATTGCTGCCAAGATGAGACTTTCGAAAAGTTATCACTCTAACACTACCAGCTCTACTACTGCTTATTACCTGCAAAACTAAGACACAAAATTACATTAGAACTAAAACTTTTTATTTTTCAATATTATTTTTAAGATAATTTAAATTCTTTTTTCTTTTGCCGGTTTCGTCTAGCTTACGCTTTTGCTCGGTTGGTCTTGTATTATACATTTAAATCTTCCTCTTCAATCACTTTTTACATTTATGAAAATTAAAATCCGTTGTGTGCTTTAAAAGAATTCAGCGTATTACATATTTGTATCACTTTAATAGTTAAAATGAAGCTATCACTTATTTATTTGCGACTTGAATGGGTTTAGCAATATCTATATATATGTGTAGATATTAATTAATCAACTTGTCCGTATGGCAAGTGACCTCTCGCACTGTCGGCCTTGGTTGTACCAATAGATGTTTCTATATGCAGAATTAGGAAACCTATCGTAACTAACTACTAACTAGTTGGTTAGACTGTTTTATGATGAAGATGCATTTGGTATTAAAGTTACTAAATTTAAAATTAGAAGCACATTTAAAGTAGGTAGGTTGGGTATTATACGTTTAAGTTGATGGAAAAATTCAACGAAATATAACAATATGTTTTATAATACTAGTAATAAAAATGAAAAAAGAAAACAGTTAGATAGTTAAATAGAAAGTTTCATTATATTTGCAAATGCTTTTCAATTTTTTGTCATGGGTAAGAAAGCATTGATTTTTATTCATCCTAATAAAAATACTTCTAATTATAGGTACTTATAATACTACAAATCGTTCAAAAACGATGTTTTTTTTCTAAATTGATAGAAGGAATTTATTTTTTCTATGTTGAGAGATTTATTTATAATGACGAGAATAAAAGAATCCAAATATGTTTTGTAAACGAAATTATGGACAAAATATTCTATGAAGTGTCCAAATTACATGTACGAAGTGTCCTGGAAACTGAGTTTAAAATCTTATAGGTAAGTCAATTCTTATATCTATGGCATTTGCCATTTACAAGGAGTGCTTAACAGTCGTGCTATAAGGGTTAGAATTTCCAAACTCACCATAAGCAACGGACGTTTGTACTTTAATAAAAAGAAACTAATGATATAGAATGATGATTATGGATTTTTGATAGCAGTATTACAGACTAATTATCCACCAAAAGACATGTCAATATAGCAAACTGAAACGACATGTCGTCATAATGAACGCCGGCTCATTGAAATTTGCGACCTAGGCAAAACACTGGAAAGACCCCCATAAAAACCGCAGTAAAATGACACATAATGTAGGTAAACCGATTAATTTTACCAATGACAAAGAAAACTCCTAAGATGCTATTGATCTGAAATTTTTGTACTTTTGAATGGCGCGGATATGGACTAATTAAAAAAAAAAGTACTTTTTTTAAGGTTCCAATAATTAGAGCAAACATAATCAAAAAAACAAGGCCGCCCCTCAAGCATCTAGGCCTAGTGCCTCTTAAAGGTATCTATAGGTATATTCCTTCTTTACTTTTTTGAGAGACCAAGAATACAGAGAAAAAGAGGTACCTATGTGGTGTTGAAATCTATTTTAAATTGTTTGATTTTCGAGTTTGCAAACTAGTAAGTTTAATTATTCGAACCTATCTACGTCTTTAATAAATCTATGTCAATAATAATTACGTATTAAAAAAAATGCCCTTTGTTGCACACGACTGCTATTCTAATGACCGTATTAGGCACATTTTATTTACTATGCAGAACACCTGTTGACACTATGCCACATTCGTGAAATACTAATTCATTTAATGACATCTACATTTTTAGAATGCATTAGGAACGAGTATAAAACGTATATCAGGAACTAGAATAAGTATAAAAACTATTTCTAACTAATCGTGAAGGTTAAGGCCTCAGTGTGTTCAAATACTGCTAAACGATTAAGTAGTACTTACGTTCGTGTTTCTAATTACTTGGCATGTTGTAATAGCAATTGTGTGGGCTTAAAGCGTTACAAACATCTAATCGATTGACGTTCTTTTGTTGCAATTATTTATTGATAAGAGAATGTAATTTAGATTATATTTTTAATTTAAATAAATATAAAGCAAAGAGTTTAAACTATCTTCAAACTAATTCGAATATTCCATCAAAGCCGACATAGAATCGTAGACTCGGAATCAATCGGAATAAATTACCAGATGATATAAAGCGTGCACCATCATTGAATGTCTTTAAAAATAAGGTAAAAGACCATTACCTATCTGTCACTTACTGAATATTAAATTAGGCTATTGTATATTTATTATTATACAATTGTATATTTATATATGTATGTGTGTATATATTAGTATGGAAAATTGTTATTTCAACTGTGTAGGACACCATTTACTACCCATCTTTTTTATGTAACTGTCCAGTCTAACTTTTGGTTGCCTGGAAGATATTGCTTTTTAGCGATAAGGCCGCCAATTGTACTGTTTATTGTTATTAATTTGTTATGTTGATTTTATTTTCAAGTACAATAAAGTGTTCATTCATTCATTCATAGAATCGTAGACGTTTGTAGTGAGTAGAGTTCGACATAGAGTAAATATACCATCTGGGTAATGCCATGGATGGGAGTCCCAAATAACGCTGTCCTTATCTCTTATTTTTCATAGAGATACAATCTGTAGTTGACTCCTTTGTAATTAAGCTTAAAAATGTGAATCATGTACCTACATTTTCAGTCTTAGTGTAATCTCAAGGATTTCCCTTTTCGTAATGATATTCTTTGTGTAATTACATCATATTCTTTTTTATTTGTATATTCTGTGTCGCATTGAAGGGGATGATGTAAACAAGATGATTTTAGTTTAATTACCAATGTACCACCTAATACACCCTACCTTACGGGATATTTCTCGATTCGTTTATTTTTATTAGTTCTTTACAAAAGTAACAAAGAAATAGGTTGATCTACAATATATTTTAAATATTTTCTATTTCGAAGAGGAAAAGAGTTTATTTTCGAATGCTTGTTTAAATATTAATAAAAAAAATATTTTCGAGGTGTTAACTTAATAACTACATAGTTATATGTAAATGTTATTGCTTTTATTAAGTGTTGTAGAGTTTCTTGCCCATATTCTCAACTAAAAGAGCTCCTAAATGGGTCACCACCCATTTTGGACATTTAAGAGTTGTATTATTGTTATCAATTAAATAGATAGAATTTTAGCTTTAAATCTCAGATAAAGCACAAAATACTTACGCCCGGTGTACCACAGTTGAGTAGCTGCGCGAATTCGTCGTTGGGTGCAACGGTGAATGTGCCGATAGGTTTGTCACCGTCGCGCGCCTGCAGTAACAGTCCCCTGATGGTGTCCGATGGTGCCTTGCCGGAAATCACGACCTCCATTGGCTGACCAGCCTTCACGGTCTGTAAAAGCAATACTGTAGTGCACAGGGAAGGATGTAGTGTACATGGATGGATGTAGTTCACATGGATGGATGTATTGCCCATGGATGGATGTAAACATGGACAGATGAAGTTCAATCCAATGCTATATTAGGTGTAATATTATTATATGCCAGGTCTTTGTGGGGTAGATGAGTTAAATATACTGAACCAATTTTACTATGGGAGCAACACTGAAATCACGAAAAATTCATTTGCTGTTTCATACAAAATTATAATAGTAACAATCGTCAACAGTGTGAAACAGCTGATTATTTTTTCGTTAATTTAGTGTTGTCCCCATAGTAAAAGTTGTTCAGTATATGTAACTCATCCGTCCCATGAAGTCCTGGCACATAATGATATTATACCTTATATATATACAGGTAGCAGATCATCAAAAATGTCTTCTTCAATATTAATTTTCAGAATTTAATATTGGTTGTACTTAGAACACCAAATTAACTCAACCAACAGAATTATGTGATGTCCACTAAAATCATGCATTATTATGTAGTTAGACTTAGCTATCCTTTGGTGCGTGTTTAATATTAGTTGTATTATAAAGAAATTAAGGTTATAGAAGAACAGTCAAACATGATAAAGGTGCTATACATTGTCGAAATTCTCCTAAACTGCTGATTATTTCTATCATCAAACCAGGTTCCTATAGATGCATATCATCCTATAGACCTAGTAAAAACTCGTAGGAAGAGACGCAAGAATGTTTGACAGTAAAGGAGATGAAAGGTTTGATCTGAAATTTCAGGAAAATGGTGAATGATTTTTTTATTTTGATATTGATATTATCCGTATTGATACTTACAGGTACCTTTTGAGAACTCTTCACATCAAAAAAGTATTTATTTGAATCGGTTGTAATTAAAATAATACAATACGACAAATCATGTAACACAAAACAAATGAAATCTCACAAAAGATAGGTATTTAGATGAAGAGGTACCTTGGTGCTAGTGGTGATTGTGTAAGGTGGCGCTGTTTTGCGTGGAGGTACTGGATGTTGAGGAACCATATCGACGCAGGACTCTGAAGGTGCACCGCTTGAATACCCCTCGACGCATGCTGCCGCCACCAGCGCAAGAGCAATCACCGACCACATCTTCATGTTTGATCCTGAAATTTGTGGAGAATTGAAAAATTGTCAAAGATTTTATAGTGGTAAATGGAAAACTTCTTCTATCTTCCCTTTCTAATCTTTTTAATCTACTTCAAAATTGAAAAGAAAGAGACTTATTATAGCCAGTTTTTATATAAAATCAGCGACTTCGTCTGTGTAAATTATAGACTATGTCATCTGCGTATGATGTAGTTTGACGTAGGTGAAAGATTTTTTAAATTGTTCCAATAGTTCACAATGCACAATATTTAAATCTTTTCTCAAAAGAATGGAAAACATCACATACTTTGCTTTTCTTCGACTCAATAAAGGGTCAATTTTGATTGACAAAACGAATTATAAGTACCCATCAGACATGGTTTTTGAATGATGGATGTTTCACGTTTTCTATTTCCTTGTCATTTTCTTATAACTATGCCGCGAATATAACAAAACAATATAAAACAAAGACAATTTAAATTACGGAAGCTTTGCGTGTCCGTAATCTATCATTGTCACAAGTTCCTTTTACAGGTTCACACCTTATTTGTTAGGCACTACGCTGCAATAACCAAAGCCGATTTAAAAAAGCCGATCTGTGTCAGGGTCCTTACTGTTCTCCAGATGATAGCTTTAAGTTGCTGGTCTAAGGACTGGTTCTCTTCATGTGGAAACGGGTGGCGCAATTTAACGAACGATTTCGTCAAGACATTGCACAAATATGTAAAACAAATAAACCGAAGCGAATGAATCGTCCGACTAAAGTTAGTTATGATAGACAAACATTTGAATTTAAAAAATATTAAGTATATGACCATGGAAAACATTAAAATTGATTACATTATTAATTGGAAGGTCAACCTGTTTATTATTACAGCACAGTTAAGGTTTTGCATTTGAATCTTTATAAAAAAAATATTTTTTGGTATTCGAAAAACAAAAACACATCGTTTATTTTTAGTAAAACTTTCAAAAGAAAATAAATTGAATTTACAGTTCATGATAATCGGAAACGATAGTTTCTTACTTAGGTACTCTTATTTTCATATCAGTTGCACTATCTTTTGATGATATCTTTGGATAATGATTGTTTCCGTGATAACGAACTCGAGAATTCATTACAATAATTATTTATCTTAGAAAATATTGAGAATATATATCTCTTAGTAACGATGTATAATTGTACTTATGCAATACATAAAATAAATACGACAAAATCATATATTATTTTGTAGCCCAAAATGAGTCCCCGAACCGAATAAAGTGTTGACTGGTAGATAATGCCTAATGACATCGAGTCCGCCATTTATACATTTTTATGTGTGCAATAAAGCTTAAATTAGTTGGTGTAAAATTAAATAGCTTTTTACAGTTAATGTAGAAAGCCGGAAGCGGACCGGAAGTCAAACTTCGAACCTTGTAAATAACTTGGTAAGCTTACCATTCTATTGCTGTACTGAGGTCGAGAAATAAGTACGTACAGGTAACACAAACAACAGTACAATATCCAATTAGAGTTGACCTGAGCTTGGCATTTAGAAGACCTATCTTTTTACACTTCAATCTATCCGATAGCTAATGTGAACTCACACACAGTTTTTATTTGAATACAAATTTTGCTGAATATATTTGTAAAGAAAATATTATTATGTTATTTTATATTTTGACGAATTCTGCATACGCAATGCCGTATTTTATATGTATAAAATTACAGGAGAAACGGCACAATTATTTCTATAAAATATATTTAATGCTGTATTTAGAAAAAATATTTGGTAATAATATTTAAATTATTCACTAAGTAGTAAAAAATTATTAGTGTTTCAAATTATGACATTAATTAATGGTTTCAAATTATGATTTGAATAAAAAAATCAATATGTGATTAAATATTCAAAACGTTACGAAAGAGAAAAAATACAAATAAATATGTAAACGTTTTACCTTGAGAAACATATAATATCGAGAATAAATATTACGGGAGAAACAGCACAATTATTTCTACAAAATATATTTAATGCTTTATTTAGAAAAAAATATACGGTAATGATATTTAAATTACTCACTAAGTAGTAATAAATTATTAGTGTGTCAAATTATGACAATAATTAATGGTTTCAAATTATGATTTGAATAAAAAAAACAATATGTGATTAAATATTCAAAACGTTACGAAAGCGAGAAAAAAATATTAATAAATATGTAAACGTTTTACCTTGAGAAATGTATAATATCGAGAACGCACGTACGTCGGCTAACCACCGCTACTAACAACACCCCGTCACTCCGTCTGAAGTTATATATTACACTTTAACAGCGAACTTAGAATTGTGGAAGGGCAAACTAGTGTGGGGAAAACATTTCATTTTCGGCCAATTTAAAGAAACTCAGCGAAGTTAGGTTTTACTCTTTGAAAAACGATATGATAACAACTAAATAGGTTTTTTATATATATAAAAATATAATTAAACCACCTTTCATGAAAATGTTTAAAAAACTTCACCAGCACCGAGTTCCCCAGGCCCAGGAACTGGGCAGATGGATTTTTTAATCATTTTTCAATAAAGTTATTTATCAGTATAGTATTGTGAATACAAGATTAATGAAACATAATTAACAAATTCCATTAGTAGGAATATATTTGTTCGGAATGTACTTTAAAAGTTTTATTACATATAATTGACAGTAGTACGACATGCAGACATAAATTTCACGTCCATAGCCTATTTTTGTATGCTATGAAATTTGATTGGTACCAGCAAATTGTACTATTGTCAGTTATTTACAACACGTTTAAAATATTAACTATAGCTCTCCAATACACAAGAGTAGGTATTCTTTTTAATTTAAGTTTAATAATGTTACTTTTTCCTAAGATTTTTGGGTTGGTTTTTGACGTTAAAATCTACATCAAGTGCTTATCGTTTGAACTGCATAAATATATATAGTACTTATAATGAACTACAATAAATGAAAATTATGTTACTTAGTTGTTCAATGTTGGATTTACAATGTTAATTTAATATATATTTATATAGGTAATATAAAGTTCTAATTCATAGAAAATAAAAATCCTACGGTTAATATGGTAAAGGTATAAATAAAGTCGATATCGAACGAAGTAAGAAAATCTTTTGATATTCGTTAATTTATTCCACAACAGTAATGATAAAAAAGCGAATCAATTTATTGATGATTGTTATTCCCCCACACTAGTTCTATTGGGTACCTATTCGGTGAAGTTCACTCATACTTGTAAGTGTTGTAGGTATTTGTGAATAATTTACCTACATTATGTTCTCAATTCTATTGTATTTCAAATAAAAAAATGCTATTGAATATATAAGAACAGATATAAGTTAAAAATATAGGAAAAATATAAACAGCAAATAATTTCACTACTACTTCCAAATTATTTTATCAAATATATACAATAAGGTGTTGACTTATTTAACTTTATAATTAACCAACGACAACTCTCCAAACTTAATAGCAAATATAATTAATTAATTAATTACGCAAAATTATAATTATGGAACAGTAGATAAATAGCAATATCAACATTTCTTAACTAGCTCTACTTCAACGACTTCGCCCGCTTATGTTATAGTCTATGTCACCCGTATGATGTGACTTCCTTCCATTTATGTGAATCGATTACGGTGTTTTGGAACCTCTTCGAACCAAAGAAACAATCAAATCTTTCCTCTTTAAAATATTTGTTTAGAAATCTATTGTTCTACAAAATAAAACCCTGTCAATACACCAATCAGGAATGGTATTATTAACTTCAAGAAGTTTTATATTTTAGTTGCTTCAGCGATAATATGGTACCTACATCAGAATGGAGTAGGCAAGAACAAAGTATAGTGATCTTAGTGTGCGGAAGCCAGCGGAGATTCGTAGATTTTGTAAGACATAAATGAGTCTTACAAAATCTACGAATTACTATGAAAGAGGGCCCCTCGCCAAAAAATTAAGACTGAAAAAAGTAGTATAAATGTAATTTACGTATAGTAATAAAATTACAATCTTGTATTAACATAAGTACCATTTTATCCTCCTTTAGTCACCCAGGCATAGCGTGGACGAAGACGGACAGAAACTACCGGAAAATAATTAACTAATTGTTCTGAGACATTAAAAAAAACCTATTCCCAGGTTTTCCCCTATGCAATTTTTGATACAAACAGGTAACTCGATAAATTATCCGCATAATCGGTTATGCATTTTAAGTTTTTCATACGATTTATTGATCTATGCGGGTCTGTGTAAAATACCTAAATAACTACATTTTCCTGTATTTAAAGTTTATTGAAACCAAATCGACATACATTTTTGTAAACATGTGTGACTTATAAAATCTCATATCATTAAAATTGTGTATGAAATAATTAGTTCACTAAATTATAATTTTTAAACGACTTCTAAATCTAATAGAAAGAGGTTTGTTCGACGGCGATTTATGTTTTGCTTTTTTTAGATATATGTTCGTTTTTAACGATTTTTCTGCGAATTTTTGACCATATACCTAGCTAGTTTTGTCTTTATACCAAAGTGACTGAAAAGATTTGCCGAATACTTAGATGACATCTAGATATTAAACGACTTCAAAATCGAATATGAGGTTATATTTTTTGTACATTCAAGTTCGATAGCGATGTATGTTTTTCATCTATACTCTTTGTTTCTCAACGAAGAAAACAAAAGACAGCGTATATTATAAAGGCGAAAATTTGTATGTTAGGATGTTTCTTACTTTTTCACGAAAAAACTACTGAATGGATTTTTATGAAATTAAGTATATAGGACATTTTCAAGCTGGATTAACATGTTGGCTACTTTTTATCCCACTAAAACTAGATATTGCCGATTCTCAAAACATATATTGCCGATTCTCTAAACACTATTTTGTGTGCATGTAGGTATCTATTACGATTTAACAATTTTTAAATGTATTCGGTAACGACTGTAGTAATGATATTATTGTTTTAATAATTAAAGTAATTATATTTTAACCATCTATTGTATTTCTCTATTACCATTGGTTGCCTGGAAACAATTGCTGCATAGCAATAAGGTCACAATTTGTATACTGTCCTTAATATTGCTTTCTTTGTAAGGTGTCAAAATTTTTGTGCAATAAAAAAAAAAATTGTATTATTTAAGTGACGATAGCTAAGAGAGCATTTAATAACAAGAAACATCTATTCAATGCGAGTCTACATATATGCATACCCAAGAAAATTTTCTGGAGTAGTGTAGGGCTTATTTTAAGACCTTAACTGTTAGTCTAGTAACTGGACTAACGGTTAAAAGATAATTTAACGCTGGTTACCAGAAAAACCGCTCTCTCGAAATACTATCGTTGATCGAAGAAATTCGTTAAAACATAATTTTGTTTTTTTTTTGTTTTTTTACCTGAAGCCTGGGGGGTGCTTCTCACCCCCCATTCACAATACAACGCTTCAGTGGCGCCCAACATAGCGCGTTAAAAATAACTAAATCTACATTCGATATGTTAAAATATTTTTTTAAACAGATATTTAATACAAGTACCCATTGATACCTCTACAAAAAAATATATCATAAAAATAATGTTTCTTTTTTTAAAAAAAAGGGAGAACTTCGAACTTTAACAAGTGACAAAAGTGAGAAATAATAAAAATTTAAAAGCCGTTTAATTATTCAAGAAACTGCTATTGAAGGGGGCTTCAATTGCAAATTCTCTTGTCGTCAGTTCCAATTAAAAAAATTGATTACTATATTACAGCTAAATTCGATGAAGAATGTTTACTAACAAAGCGTAGCTTAGCAACGAGTGACAGGCAGATGTGACAGGCAGATATTACTAACCTTTCTAAACTCGACAACATTTTTTTCGATTTCGAGATAGGCACTACTTTATGAAATATTCTAACCAATTTATTATATAGTAGTGTTTTGAATATTATCTTATCTTTGTTATCTAATGTGCAATGTCAGTGAAAAAGCAATTGTTTTATTTATAAATGTAGGGGAAACCCGGAGTACGTGAATACCTTAAACTTATCTTGATTACTGACGTTTAGTTGTAACTGGGGAAAATGAAAGAGATGTTTATAATCAGTCTTTATTTGAACTTACATAATGCAGTAACAGGTGTCTTTAATACTAATTAAACTATTAGATTTAAAGCTAGTTTTGAAAAATGGCATGAATATCCACTTTGCCCAGCACCCCGGGTAAAGTGGATTCGGTACTAGGGCAAAGCGAACAACATTATTTGTCATGGAATTAAACATTAAAAATAATATAACCATCGTAATATACGGAACATAGAGTTTGGCAAGCGAAACGTGACACCACCTATTTTTCCGTTTTCATATGGCAACAACATAGAACTGTCAGTTTGACACTACGTTAGACAATTCAAGAATATTGAATTTTGTTGTTTTTGCGAATTTGAACTTGTGTTTTTGGTTAAAAATTATGTCGAAGCCGATAAAAAGTTCATCGAGGAAACTTCTTTCCATCATGATTGACAAGTTTACTGAAGTGAAAACTGAATTAAATAAAAATTTCATGGAGAAATTACAACGATTAGATAAAGTTGTATCTTTTTTAGGTTAGTTTTGTATTATAATTTTGATACTTTCGTTTTAATTTTCTGTAATTAACTAAACAGATATTTTTTATAAAATATTGCTCTATTTCAGATAACTGTGATGGTGATATTCAACCAATAATGGAGGAGATAAATGCAATAAAAACTTTAGAAAAACAAGAAATGCTGAATTCGGAAACGCAGTACTTACAAAAAATTTCTTCAATGACAGGTCTCTTTTCTTGTTTTGATTTAAGATAGATTGATAGTATTCCTATAATATTTACATAGGTTTTTTATGATGTATTGGTTTTTATTGTTGACATCCAATGATGTCATAAGAATGTTTTGTTTAACAAGGAAATTCACAGAATTCATGAAACTAATCAAACCATGTAATTGTTATACATGCTAAATATGCACATAAACTTAACTAAATTAAACATAAATTGCATTCATAGTTGAATAGGTATTTAAATTATTTTGATGTATGTGTCTATCATTATTTGCTTTTAAATACATTTAACATATCTTTGTTTCAAAGTGTTTAATCTTTTATAGATGTAAGTATAAGGACACTAAGAAGAATAAAAAATGAAGCATTAATTAATAAAGGAAAATGGGACACTCCTGGGAAAAAACAACCTCATCAACCAACAGTGTCTGCTTTAGATAATTTTGATTTAAGTGCAATTCGGAATAAAGTAAATGAATTTTACTGTGTGAA